AAAACTCTATGTTGAAATGTAATGTTTGATTCGGTCTGTAGATTTTTCGCTGGTTAGGTTCCACTAATATGTCTTTTCCACTTACAGCCAACATGTTACCTCCAGTATGAAGGTCCTTTTATTAAGCTACTTATATTCGCTCTCATGTGAGGGGCTTTGAGGTTGGTCGTGTCACTAGTGAGCTGCCATGTCACTTTCCCTCCACAGTTATCTAGTACATAATAGTTACGGAAATCAATGTTTGGATAACCAGTGGAGTTTGCGAAACATCTTTGTGAACTCGGAAAAGTTAAAAATTTGCGATACGCTGATTCACTATTCAGCGGGTTTGCGTTAGCTATCGCCTATCGTTGTCAGTTCTCTCATAGACAGTCCCTGATCACTTGATCAGTTCAGTATTCAGACTATCCTTGCCTGATGCATTTTTGTTTTTCAAGGAATTAATCGCTTCTATGATTTCCCGGTTCACTCATATGAATGCTGTGTACTGTACACTATTGGTTCGATGGGTGTGAATGAAACTAATACGATGTCGTTGGAGATGCGCCTCGTCTACCTAATTTGGGTATCCATGAGCCGTTTCCTCGGCCTTGAGTAGAACCGGTGTTACAATCGTCGAACGTCGACGGGCTTCTCTTTGAGACATCGATGTCTCTGGGTCTGGTGTAACGTTGTCATAGTATAGTATAGTATCTTCGGCATTAAAGAATAGGCCTGCCGCCGATTCTTGTACTTTTCTTGACTAGACTGGCCTTTTGATAAGATCTTTTCAACGGACGGTAGATTAAAAATCGCTTCTAGATATCAGTTGTTGGTTAAAGTTATCAGTCATGACGGATAACTTTAACTTTTGAAGGAAGCTTACAAAAAAGTGACTCCCTTGCGCATACTCGGCCTAACTTCCAAGTATTAACCAATTCTGCGCTCAGGAACATAGGAGGCTCCATATTTTAATTACGTGCTTGTTTCATCCTATTCCTCGTTAAAAATGAATTGCGTTTTGAAAATAACTTAGCGACTCGCAAAATCAAACATGTGAAAACTGGCATTTAATCACTGACCGGAAGTGACGTGGGTATACCGGAAAGTCGTCATTTACATGTAAGTACAATATTGACAAATGAGACTACGATAAATTAGTTCATCACCGTTTCACATCATCACAGTTGGCTCATTAGCACTGCGGAATCGTGTGTTTGACAATGCATAATAATGATTTTCCAACTTTTAAGTAGCTGACGATAACAAAAAAATTTAGAAGAGATAAGGGAACTATAGTTACAATTCAGCCATCGTACAATGTAATATAAATGATAAGTAAATGCTGGAAATTGTCAACCAAACGTTCCACTCGACATCTCAAATGCTATGAAAACACAAATATACCGGAAAACCAATTCCGTTCAAATTGTTCTCGGTGAAGTAATTCAGAAAATAGCGTATGCTGTAATCATTGTTATAATTTTGCTTTTTAATTCAAGCATTAAGGTACTGCTCGATTTTTGTTAGGCGATTTATTTGACCAGTGACAGCGTACTATAACTACATGCTCACCGGCTTTGTGAATGCAGTGCATAAATTTATTTTGCGCTTTTACCCTATGCGCTGACACGTAACTTGTATCTGCTGCGTTGTTATGTACAGTAGGAATCATGCAACGCTCCCATTTATATGTCGATAATATCTTTCGATTCCCAGAATGAAGTTGTTAAAATATTAAGGATATAAATTGCATCTATGTGAACTTCCAGAAACAATGCGTTACAACGGCATGAATTGACGTTCGCGGTACCAATTGTTTTCTGGACCAAGCTCTCCTAACCTCCTTGATCTTCCTGACATCCCTGGTTCGGCCGAAAAACGTTTTGCGCTGGGCTCTGTCTCAAGAAAACAAGCTGCATTTTCTTCTTGTGATGACAAAGCAACTGATGGCTGATGCTGCTTAGCCACTGATTGCCCCCTGGTTAATTGAAGACGTGAAGATACTCGTGTAACTGTAAACGCAAAATAGATTAATTATCTTGAAATGTGTGTAAAAGTTTGGGGAAATTGAACTTTAAGGAGAACGTTACTCGACAAATCTCTTCGGAACATTTCGGGGTCAACCTATACATGCGTTAACCCAGTGGTTCCCAAACTTTTTCAGGCTGGCGCCCCCTTTGGCTCCCTAGTGAATTTCTAGCGCCCCCCACAGACATACGCCTCTTTCTTGAAATTTAGTGCGCTGCGATTTTAAAAGATAAAGGTTAAACACAAGTGTGTATTTCACAAAAAGAACCCCATTTAGTGAATCGATATGTTTTTCAGCTGTCTTAACTATTTCAGCACTAGAAACCTAGGACGTCTCGATCGAATTTACGGCCGGACTCGTGGCCGGTCTCACGAAAAATCTCCAATTTCAATTATCAAAAAATATCTTTCAAACTAATGGACGCAGCTCTATAAAACTTAGAACACGTATTCATCAGAACCTAACTGTGATGTTTAGCTCGTATTTTTTTTTAAATTTCACCTTCATTCATGAGTTACGCGTACATTGCGAAACATGCCGAAATTCGCAGTGATCAAAGAATTTATTCCAAACTATTGAACAGATTTGAACAAAATTTTGAATATACATTCCTAACTACCAAACGGTGATTTTTAGCTTATAAAGTTTTTTTTCGATTTTACCTTCGTTTGCGAGTTTTTTTTTTTCATTTCACCGTCATTCTTGATCACACATTTCCTTATATTCGGCCCGTATCGCCGGGTAATTTGAAACTTCAATTCGCGGCGATCAAGAAATTTCTTCTAAACTACAGAACAGATTTCAAGGATACTTTTTACATAAATACGTAACCTCTCAACGAAGATGTTTAGCTCGTGACAATTTTTCTATTTTGCTTTCGTTCGCTAGCTATACAGATATAGGAGGAAAGACCGGATTTTCTACCGGCCGGTTTAACCAAGAGCCTTATACGTACGTATAGACGTATAACTCGCAAACGAAGGCAAAAAGAAAAAAATTGCAAACATCACCATTGCTGAGATTAGGTATTTAAATACTAAGTTTCGTTCAAATCTGTTCAGAAGTTTAGACAAAATTTCTTGATTACTGCGAATTTAAGCACGTATTGCTGTTTATATCACGAATGAAGGTGAAATAAAAAAATTCGCGAACGAAGGCACGATCGAAAAAATTGTCACGAGCTAAACATTACCGTTCGGTAGTTAGGACTGTAAATTCAGAATTTCGTTCGAATCTGTTCAGTAGTTTGGAAGAAATTACTTGATCACTGTGAATTTCGGCCCGTATTGCCATATAACAATGGCAAAAACAAACGATGGCAAAATTAAAAAAAAATTTACGAGCAAAACATTATCGTTAAGTCCTAGTGAATACGTGTACCAAGATTCATCGAGTTAAGTTCATTAGTTTGAGAGATATTCCTTGATCATAGAATTTGGAAATTGGCCGTGAGACCGGCCGCGAGTCCGGCCGTTAATTTGTCCGTGACGTAAACCCAGGAGAGGTTAAAAAACAACAGATCTGGGTGAAAAAACCATCGCTGGGAGTCGTATGCTGCACGTGTTGTGTACATATCGTCAAACAAACGTTAGAATTCTGACATCGACTTCGGACTACCGCCCCCCTACCGCCCTCTTCTTCCTTACCGCCCCCAAAATCTTTCCACCGCCCTAGGGGGGCGATATCGCCCACTTTGGGAATCACTGCGTTAACCTCACTATTGTTGTTTATTATTGAACTGCTATAACATATTTTTTTCTATTTCAGATTATTGAGAATAAGATTCCTTAAGAAATTAAATGACTTTTATGAAAGTTCCACCGCCTGAGTATAAGAATTTTCTCAAGCAAATTTTTGTTCAGCGCTCGAAGTTGAACTGAACTTCCTACAAGATTGTAAGATAATTTGAATCTTGTTTCGAGAACTTATCTTTAATTTTAAACGATGAATGCGGAGCTTCAAAAATTTCTCACTGCTATAATTAATTGAAGCAGTTATGAATAAAACACACCTGTAAGTTTCTTTTAATTATATATCTTTGCCGGAATCAAGTCTACAATTATGAAGAATTTCGCATATATACTAAGCATTTCGTCCTACCTTCTAGCTTACATACCATATATCGCGTCACAAACCGGCACGTATGGAAACGAAATGATATCTTTCTCCGATAATACAATGGATTATGACGACGAATTTTACTATTCAGACGACAGTGCTATCGAAGAGCAGTGGAACAACACGAAAGAACTGGAACAGTGCGAGAACTCAACTTGCGTCCGGAAATGTTGTCCTGAGGATCAATTCTTTTCTCTTGGTGACGCTTTCGGATGCATTAATAGTAGTGATGAAGTTCCTAAGTTTGAAGTGCAGTTTAGATTCAAAGATGGACGCCCAACATACCCAGACAAGCCCCTTAAGTTGCTCACGGGAATGAAAGGCATGAAGCCAGGATGCTCTCAAGGCGCTCTTCCTGAACACCGGAGGGCCGAACTCATCAGTGACGGACAGCTGTACACCGCGTACGATAAGATCTACCGCAACCACAGCGAGTATTGTCTCGACGTCATCCGTGAGTGCCATGGGTTTGAAGCAGGGTTATATTAGTACTTGAAAGTTCAAAGTGGTATTCCATTAATAATTGCGAGAAACAAACTACATGCTAAAAATTATGCCCCTATAATCATTGCTGATGTATCCTCTTGTGTGGAAACTCATCCATTATAAACTTGAATTTCTATCATGTACCTGAATCACCCGTTACCTGTTGTGTGAAACTAGTCTTAGTAAAGGTTTACTATAACATTTTGGGTGCAGGGTGGATCTGTGGTTATACTCCAGAGTATCAGGATTGGAGCAGAGAGGTGCAGGTTCGATCCCAGCTCTCTGCAATAGTTTCTGGTCAGAATCCGCGGCGATGAGGCAGGGCGGTTAATCACAGCAAAATTGGAGCATTGAGTTGCGTGTATGAGACCGCAACTTCGCTGATCTTGCATTGGTCATCGTCACTCTATGGCAATCCATCTCCGTCAACTTATGCGTATTCTTTGGTAGGATGCTGTACGAATTTTAAGCAGTTCGGAAATTTTCGATTCTCCCTATACTATTATGATTTGCTTCTTCCCGATTTATATATCAACTTGAAAGTCGATGATTTAAGTATAACATTACAGCCGACTGGTCTAGAAATAAGAAAAGATATACCATACATATTACATAACAATAACATTCTGTTCATCAGGAGTCGTCATTCATTCTGGCTTCATCGCAACATACATGTGGCTCACCATCATGTGCTTCGATGTGTGGCGTTATGTTCGGTATGATTAGATACATTAAATGTATTTTTTAAGGTAATTTAAATTTTTCTATTTATTTCTATTTCTTTGCAACATGTGTAATAGATAAATCTTTTAGCTCCGAAAACTGGTCCCCATTTCCATGTAAAATTCAGGATTTAAAAACTATATATTATATACCAGTTTGCTTATTACCGTACTATCGTGGATATTATTGTCACTATATGCTTAAATTTTGCAGGCATGAAAAATCTGAAACATTCGAAAATAGCAACTCTTGTTTCGACATCATGTTGAAATTTGAAAATGGTTCATATCAATGTTCTTATTTCCAACATTGATGTGCGGTTTATTCCACATTTCCGACCGTTTCATTCCAGGCTTAGCGTGAAAGGCATCCCTAGCAGTAAATTGAATTGGCATGTAACGACTCGATGAAAGGCTCTCCGTTCTAGGGTAAATGGATTAAAAGAAACTAAATCGTATAAACTCTATTTCGTAAACCGTAATGATATTGGGCCCTGATTTAATAAAACAAAAAGCAATAGACGCAGTGAAAATGTACTTTTATGCATTCTTTGGAATTCCAATGAACTTGATAAAACTTTTTTTTCTAGGTTCTGGCAACGGTTCCAGATCTTCGTAATGACTATCTGCATCTGGTCGACAGAAGTTCTTTCGTGGAAAATTCCTCCCAAAGAACTCTGGTGAGTAAATGACATGGAAATTCCCAAATTTTTTTCTATAATACTGAATAGTCTCGCACGAAAGTAGTTTCAAGTGCCTGTCATGTTTAAATTAATATTTCACTTTCTGTAAAAATTCTGTTTGTGATTGAATGCTTTTGATAGATTGCAACCTGTCGCCATATGCAAATGTAACATTTTTTATACCTTTGTCACTTGACAGGGATGCAACGGATCTCCTCAACACCTTACAGGGAGTCATCCTTCTCATCATCTTCTTGAGGGCCAAGCGAAAACGTGATTTAATTTCAACGCAGGTATTGCCGGTATGCCGCAAATTTGCCGGTTTTGCCCATTCCGCAGCTCAGAAACTTTCGAGCCATGACGAAACATCCATGACAAGCCTTGAAACACATCTCAGCAAACTAGGAAATGCTAAAGAAACTATCGACAGAATACGGAAACTTTCTTGTCAGGAAGAGACCGTCTCGAGCACCATCGTGAAGAGGTGAAGAGTCTGGCGCAAAGCAAGATTCTTGCTGAAGATTCGCGGTCGCCCCAAGTGCAGGACGGCTTATAAATGAACCATTCACCTACGCAACAAAATGCCCTGCACCCTCCCGCCAACTGACAACATGACAAGTTGAGAATTGTCAACTGTCGCTTATTTAATTAAAGCAAGCCTCTTAAGTTTAATATTTGGAAGTACTATAACGTAATCGTAACCGTAAAGTATTTGAAACTACCATAAAGTATTCGATGGATGTTGCGTTCAAATTTCGAGCTTTGGAAAATGTAATTTTAATAAATTTTCAGTATGTATTACTCTGTAATACTGTAGTGTAAAACAGACAGTACGTATTACTCTGAATTATGTTTGTTGTTCGAGTCAGAATGCGCCCTAATGCCGTCATAGCAAAAAGTGAGTGGAGACAATGTCCAAACTGCTTTATGATATTTTGCGAGTTGATACCAATTTTTCCACCCTGCGGAAAAATGATGCTAATTACCCCACCCTCGGATGCTAATTTTACTAGCCTCTCAAGTTACTTATTCCATTAGCCTAACTTTAATGCCGTATTATATCTTTGAAACATTGCACAGAGAAAAGTTCTTTCTATGAAAGCAAGACGCTTTTCATCCACTACAAGTAGCAATGAAGCTGATACCCTCTCAACCAAGTATCACAATTTCGGAAATTCTTCAGTTTTAATTGTGCCGTTGAGTAAAGGAGACAACTTGCAACATAATTGCAAATACATTCGATGTAATAATAAGTCCCCTTTAAAATCTTTCTACAATAGTTATAAGATGGTGTGAATGGCTCAAGTATAGTGAAAAAGGATACGTTACTTAAGAGCGTTGGGAACTATGATGTACAAGTAATTTTATGACGAAATTAGTAAAAATGTAGGCTAACTACTTCCACTACCTATCCTCGCTGTCAATAACTTTTTTTTTAATTACTGAGAGGAAAACTGCAAAGTTGCTGAACGTGCGTTCCTCACGCTGGTTAAGCCTGATTCTTAAGTTAAATTGTAATATAGTATTAAGGTATGAACGTTTTATAGTTTTTTACCTGTTGACAATCTCTAAATAGAAGTGCCAAAATCAAGGGTTATATTATCATTCGTATCTTCTAAGCCGTACGCTAATTTTTAAAGAGGGTTAATTAATAATGAGAGTTGAAGAAATTTACCTTCAGCGATCGAGAAATGGGAACTGTGTAGAGAACTCTATTTTGGCGTATTATACAAAAGATTGCAGTTCATTAAGTTTAGATTACTTCGAGTTTGTTATGTTTTGAAATAAAACTTTTACATCGTCCATTCATCTCGAGAAGAAAATAACCAATTTTCCTTTAATTAAATTATTCGCAGTTCGTAGTCAGTAAGAAATGTTAATTGGATTTACGAATCAAAAGACGCTTTGAATCGCGCATGATAATTTGTCCAAGGATGTAAAAAAAGGAATGTAAAAATTTCGCAGAAATCTTATTGGAATTCCGTACTCTTTCAATGAGGCAGTAGGTGAGCATGCGGCAGCAAGTTGTGCTTGGCGCTTACCCAATCGACACTTCTCCGGACCTGCCTGCGAACTCGCCTGCGGACTCAAACGCAAAACCTAACTACACGCTCAACCGAAACACTCATAACTCCTACAATACTGAACAGATTTGCTTGAATTTTGGAATATAAGTAGTTATTATCGATGCGCTGCGGTANCCTATTGCATAGCATCAAAGCAAGAAATTCAGGGATTCATTAATTAACATAGGCGAAACTACAGTAGCGAACACTAGTTATTGTCAGCACGACTCAATTAGTTAGCAAAATTAGACTGACATGATAGTCAGTAGTCACTGCCACCAGCTTCAAGCTAGTCCTCTTTACGGGCGGAGCGATGTAGCAAGATCGTGGGCGTGTAAATTTGATGTTGAACTATGATTCTGTGAGATCAAATCACCAAGTATAAGTGTAACTCATAAGTTATGAGCACGTGCATATATTCCCTATTTTGTTAAAATTTATTGTCTAATTAATTCGTTAACGTTTATGCGCTTGTCGTTTGTCTCGTGTCCGGAGACATAGTAGAAGTAGACGCTCTGTAGCTCGTTCTAGAGGACTATTGCCTTAGGACCTTACCTGAGTGAAGACCTCTGGCTCAAACAGTATTACCAATTTTGTTAACTCTTGATTATCTATATTCTAATTCAATGGATGTGATCTGTCAGGTGGCGTGCGGCTGATAATGTTACAGTCAAGAAGTGTTATAGGCTAGGTTCTTCAGGGAAGGGATCATGATAGCCCATTCGAAGCAGGGCAGTGGTGCTCTCCGACATGCGTCCCTTATTCGTTCGTTTTTTTTTTGCGCAATCTTTTAATCAAATCATCGTTCAAACGTGGATCGAGTTGCCGACCTCAATGACAGTTACTGCAGTTAGAGAAACGTTCGCTACATGATGGACGTCGAACGCTTTCCCAATGCGTCGTGCGCAATATTTAGCCTCTTTATATAAAGAGTGAGAGCCAGCTATAATAATTCCAGCAGGAAACTCTTCCAAATGACAATGAAGAAATAAGCGATGAATACAGATATTTCCACATTAACTGAAGAGGACACAGAGGCCGCATTTTCGCACGTAGCCAACGTTTGTCAGAAAAATATTTATAACTAATTGACTATATAACTATAACTTTGTGATTTATTGATTAGATCATTTTTTTGAAAATTTATAATATTTTTTAAACAAATAAAACTTTGAAACTGTTCAGTATTGAAGTAGAGATTGCGTGGATGCGAATAGAATTATTGTTTACTTATGAAGTACTGTACTGCTTGTACATTTTGTGTTTAATTTCGTAATTATTCGTTTTTATTGTCCAAGTAACTTAACTACAGACAACGAAATTACATCACTCAGTGTCAGTGATAGATGCAAGCCATGCACCGCCTGCGAAGTGATCACTGCAACAGATGCCCATGAGGAATGTCGCACCGCAGTACGTTGGCACTTGGCGACTGCCAGTTAGTTACCGGTTGAACTGCGACGAGAATGGGTGGTGCATTTTCACAGCTGGCTCAACTATCTTGTAACTGATTTCAGAGTTTCTCCTTGCTTGTGTCCTACACGTTTTTGGCCGTGGTGCCACAATAATTCAACGTAGAATTATAAAACAACTGTAACGCCTCAGAATTTCACAGACATCATATGTTGAGTCATCATGTCATGTTTACTTGATGACCATTGAAGAGTTCAGGTTTTAGCAGCATCGGCGACACAGACGAGATGCATTGTATCCCAACAAAAGAAATATTTGATGTGGCATGATTCAGTCATCGTCGATGACACGATAACCGAGTCGTATTTCGTGAATGCGTAAGACATTGAGAAAACTGTGTTGAAATGTACTGTTTGATTCGGTCCATGGATTTTTCGCTGGTTAGGTTTCACTAATATGTCTAATCCACTACAGCTACAGCACAGGTTACCTCTAATGTGAAGGTCCATCGATTAAGCTACTTTTTTTCAGCTCTCGTGTCAAAGATTGTAAAGGGTTTGAATATTAGTAATCTCATTATCACTGGTGGGCTGGCATATCTCTTATCCCCCACAGTTATCTAGTCCTTAATAGTTACGTAATTCAATGTTTGAAGCATCATTCGATTCTACAAAATATATTAATAAACTCATAAAATGTTAAAAATTTGCGATCTGCTTTTTCAGCGAGTTTACATTTTAGCTATCGTTTTCAGTTCTCTCGTCGACAGGCTCTGATCACCCATCTGAATTCCGTCTGCACTCTTGGTTCGATGAGTGTGAATGAAACTAAAGCCCCGTCCACACGCTCAAACTTATCGTCAGTCTTGCATGTCATGCCAGGTTTGACGACATGACGGAGCGCGTGTGGACGCTCAAAGTTTGGCGTCTTGCATGACCGGTGGGCGGAGTTTGAGGTTTGACAAACCTGGAAAAGACGGACGGGCGAGACCTTTGGGTTCATGCAAGACTGACGATAAGTTTGAGCGTGTGGACGGGCAACCGACTAATTGGTCAAACTTTTACTCTATCACAGTCTATATTGATGTTGAGAGCTGTGCCATTGTTCTTCGCTATGTTTAGTTTTCCATATCCCAGGATATCCGACACTGATTTCACGATTTCTTTTGGTGAGTTTATCGAATTATATAGTAGTTTCCCTTATAATTATATAGTAGTTTATCGTAAATTTAATCAAAAATCTACAGTCACAAGAACAAGAGAGCACTGGCCTATGCGGCATTGATTGCTAAGTTCAAAGAAGTTGATCCTACAGCAAACAAGATTTTGTAACGAAGAACATAAACTCTTTATCGAAAAGAATGTGCCGAAATGAAGTCATCAATGTTGTCTGGTGCTGTTAGGGATGCTGTCTACCAACCCTCACTGTGCTTTTTTTAAACCATTTTCGGGACCACCGAGTACGTTTGCATCGCTAATTATGGTGGCACAAACTGCGATCACTGCAGCGAGACTCACTGCCTCCCCTCCATTGCCACGAGCGCACAAGACAAGAAAAGTTTGAACGTGTGGACGCTCGTCAGTCTTCCGTCTTGTCGGTCAAACTTTGGCATGACATGCAAGACTGACGATAAATTTGAGCGTGTGGACGGGGCTTTTAATACGATGTCGTTGGAGATGCGTCTCGTCTACCCTTCTTGGGGTATCCATGAGCCGTTCCCTCGGTCTTGAGTAAAACCGGTGTTACAATCGTCGAACGTCGACGGGCTTCTCTTCGAGACATCGATGTCTCTGAGACTCTGAGTCTGAGGTAACGTTGCCATGACGAGTAACGTTAACCTCTACGCATCACTATTTGTTATGAGAGGCGTTTGAAAGACACAAAAAATGTAATAAAGAAGTGACTCCCAGGTGCAAACTCGGTCTAACTTTCAAGTATTATTTTTGAAGTATTAACCAAATCTGCGGACAAGAACATAGGATGCTCTCTATTTTAATTGCTTGCTTGTTTCATCCTATTCCTAGGTAATAAATTGCGTGTTTTAAAATAACGCTGCAACTCGCAAAACCAAACTTGGGAAAACTGTTATTTTATCACTGACCGGAAATGAAGTGGGTATACCGGAAATTCGTCAATGACAACATTTACATAGTATATTGACAAACGAGACTTCGATAAATTAGTTATCACCGTTTCACATCGAGTATTAAGTTACAGCTCGATTTCTGTAATGCGATATATTTGCTGAGTGACCATACAAAATCGTAGTCATCCATTTTTGTGGAACTCGTGCCCGGCTGCAGTCATTCCTAGAAACACGGGCTGATCAGGTTTAATTTACTCAAGAAAAGAAAAAGAGTTGCATTTTCTTCTTGTGATGGCAAAGCAACTGTGTTGGCTGATGCTACTTAGCCACTGATTGCCCCCTGGTTTATTGAAGACTTAATAACTATTGAAGTCTCGAGTAACTGTAAACTCAAATTTGATTAAATCTCGAAATGTTTTTGAAAGTTTTGGGAAATTGGAACTTTAGGGAGAGAGAGCAATACTTGAGATGAAGTCACTTCAGAAGATTCCACTGGATCCAACTATACATGCGTTAACTTTGATATTGTATATTGGATAAATGATTCATAGCAATTTTTTTTCTATTTCAGATTATTTAGAATCAGATTCATTTGATAATTAAATGAATTTTATGTAAGCTTCTCCGCATCAGTAAGGATTTTTTCAACAAAAAATTTTCTTCAGACTTTGACTGAACTTCCTTCAACAATACATCATAATCTGATTCGTATTTCGGGGAGTTATCATTAGTTTCTACTTTCTAACGATGAATGTGGGGGTTGAAAATTTTTTTACTGCTATAATTAATTGAAACAGTTGTGAATAAAACAACTCCGTTAGTTTCGTTTAATTATATATATTTGCGGGATTCAAATCTGAATATGAAGAAATTCGCATTTATACTAAGCATTTCCTCCTATCTCCTAGCTTACATACCACATATAGCGTCACAAAGCGGCACATATGGAAACGAAACGATATCGTTCTCCAACAATACAACGGATTATGGCGGTGACGACGAATATTACTCTTCAGACGACAATGCTATCGAAGAGCAGTGGAACAACACGAAAGAACTGGAAGAGTGCGAGAACTCAACTTGCGTCCGGAAATGTTGTCCTGAGGGTCAATTCTTTTCTCTTCATGGTGACGCTTTCGGATGCATTAATAGTAGTGATGAAGTTCCTAAATTTGAAGTACAGTTTAGATTCAAAGATGGACGTCCAACATACCCAGACAAGCCTCTTAAGTTGCTCACGGGAATGAAAGGCATGAAGCCAGGATGCACTCAAGGCGTTCTTCCTGAACACAGGAGGGCCGAACTCCTCAGTGACGGACAGCTGTACACCGCGTACGATAAGATCTACCGCAACCACAGCGAGTATTGTCTCGACGTCATCCGTGAGTGCTTTGGGTTTTAAACAGGGTTATATTAATACTTGAAAGTACAAAGTGCTATTCCATTAATAACTGCGAGGAAAAAATTACGTGCTAACAATTTTGCACCTATAATCATTGCTGCTTAACCTCTTGTGTGGAAACTAATGTGACTCATCCATTTTATACTTGAATTTCTACCAAGTACTAGAATCACCCGTTGCTTGTTTTGTGAAACTAGACTTAGTATAGGTTTATTATAACATTTGGGGTGCTGGGTGGCTCTGTGGTTATACTACGGAGTATCAGGATCGGAGCTAAGTGGTGGGGGTTCGATCCCAGCTCTCTGCAAAATTCCTGATCAGAATCCGCGATGAGGCCGGGCGGTTGAACATAGCAAAATTGGAGCATTGAGTTGCTTGTTTTAGACCGCAACAAGCTGTAAATGTTCTGGGATGTTAAGAATCGGCGACAGGACCAACGGCCAAGTCAACACTGAATCCGCAATTGCATAGAGAGCTTGAAAGAGTGTCAGCTGGGCATCAGACTCTAAATATATAACTTTTAACAGGTCGTGACGACGAGCACTTCGGCATGTGGTCCATCACGTGCTACGACGAGTACGAGGAAACTCCTCGCTCCATCTTCCGCTTCTACAGCCACTCGATCTTCCTGACGATGTCGTGCGTCGCGTTGTCGGTCATCATCGTCTGTCACGTATCCTTGCCTCAGCTCAGGGACCTCTCTGGCATGTGTCTCTTGTCGCACGTCACGAGCCTCTTCTTCGCTGATCTTGCATTGGTCACCGTCACTCTGTGGCAATCCATCTCCGTCAACTTATGCGTATTCTTTGGTAGGATGCTGTACGAATTTAAGCAATTCGGAAATTTCCGACTTCCTTCTATTCTTCCCTTCTTCCCGACGTGATATTTCAATTTAAAAGCTGATGCTTTGAGTATGATATTACAGCCATCTGGTATAAGAATAAGAAAAGATATATTACAATAACATTCTGTTTACCAGGAATCGTCATGCATTCTGGCTTCATCGCAACATACATGTGGCTCACCATCATGTGCTTCGATATCTGGCGTTATGTTCGGTAAGATTAGATACATTAAATGTAGTTTTACACCTTACAGGGAGTCATCCTTCTCATCATCTTCATGAGGGCCAAGCGAAAACGTGATTTAATTTTAACGCAGGTGCGCAAATTTGCCGGTATTGCCCATTCCGCAGCTCAGAAACTTCCGAGCCAAGACGACACATCCATGACAAGCCTCGAAACACATCTCAGCAAACAAGGTAGTGATAAAGAAACCATCGACAAAATACGGAAACTTTCTCATCAGGAAGAGACCGTCTCAAGTACCATTGTGAAGAGTCTGGCCCAAAGCAATAGTCTTGCGGAAGATTCGCGGTCGCCCCAAGCGCAGTACGGCTTAAAATGAACCATTCACCTACGCAGCAAAATGCACTGCACCCTCCCGTCAACTGACAACCTGACTAGTTGTTGATAATTGTCAACTGTCGCTTATTTGATTAAAGCAAGCCTCGTAAGTTTAATATTTGGAAGTACTATAACGTATTCGTAACCGTAAAGTATTTGAAACTACAATAAAGTATTCGATAAACGTTGCGTTCAAATTTCCAGTATTGAAAAATGTAAATTTAGTACATTTTTAGTATGCATTTTCTTAAAACAGACAGTATTACTCTAAACTATGTTTGTTGTTCAAGTCAGAAATGCGCCTTAATGCCGTCATTGCAAAATGTGAGTGGAGAGAATGATCACACTGCTTTCTGATGTTTTACGAGCTGGTACCATTTTTTTCACTTTGCAGAAAAATATGAGTATTTTTTCACTGCGTGGAAAAATGCGGAAAATAAAATGGACGGTGCGATAAGGTACGTCGGGTACTAATTTTACTAGCCTGTCAAGTTACTTTTCCCATTTGCTTAACTTTAATGCGGTATTATGTCATTGAAGCATTGCATAAAGAAAAGTTCTTTCAACTATGAAAGCGAAACGCTTTTCATCCACTAGAAGTAGCAATGAAAGCTGATACACTCTCAACCAAGTATCACAATTTCGGAAGTTCTTCAGTTTTAATTGTGTTGCTGAGTAAGGGAGTCAACCTTCAACATATAGTTAAATGTGGCAAGACAGGATCACAGCCTTCATGGGGTAAGAAAGGACCAGCCCATGGCATGCATTCTAAATCCACTGAATATAATTTGATGGAAGAATATGTTACAGCAAAATTTACACCAGTATATTGTACTTTCAATTAGACGAACCACATTGTACTTTCAATTAGACGACATTGCTAACATTGAGGGCAGTGGACAAAGGCAATATTGGAAATTATTTTGACTCTAGAATCAAGTTTGACTTATCAGAGTCATGAGGAGAAATTTTCCGTGAGAGAACCTCAGTTGACCTGGTGAAATGTGCCCAGTGGTTAAAGTTCAGAGTATCAAGATTGGAGCAGAGAGGTGCGGATTCGATCCCAGCTCTATGCGTCAGCTTCTGGTCAGAACCGGCGAGGAGGCCGGGCGGTTAAGCACAGCAGAATTGTAGCAGTGCGTTGCGAGTTCGAGACCGCAAAATGCTGTGAATATTCTGCGATGTTTAGAATCGGCGACAGGCCTACGGCCTAATGAACGCTGAAACCGCAATGACGAAGATCTGGAGACGCTGTCAAAAGCTGGAGAAGTAATAATTTTTGTTCAGCAAGGATTATTTAAATAGATAAATTTTTATCAAACGAACACATTTTTATCCTCATCCACTGATTTCGAAAAATTTCTTTCTTCATTCACTCAGAACAAGATGCATGAACTTTGATCAATTTTAAGTTCAAGTGCAAATATTGATTCCGTCTGTGTTGAGAATTCCATTTCCATGCATGATGATATCATCAGAAGATAATATTAAAGAAATTTACATGAACTTGCACATCGAGATGCTTGTTATTGAACACAGTAAAGCCATTACGCTGGAAGCAGCAGATTTTAATACCTCCCAGTGGACAGTTAGTGCAGTCTTGCCTACGAAGCAGGCATTCAGCACGCAGAGCGCGGTCAGGATCACAAAGAAGAACTTCATCACGAAAAATATCTAGATTTTATTTAAACTAGAGAGCGCCATATCAACTTCAATAACTTGCACGAGGGAATGTTATAAATAATAGTCAACTTGTAATTGATTTTGCAGCGCCGAGAATCCTCTATTGATAAAATAGCACAAGTCATATGACTAAACAAACGACTGCAAGGAGCAAATTGCGATCGTGAAATCGAGCGAAGTGCGTGGAATTTCATCTTCTTATCCGTTGATGAGGATCACGTCTCTAAAGAGATGCAACTTTCAAGTTTCACCTCGATTACTTTAAACAAAAAATTCATTCTTTAAACAAGGATCATCACACAATGGTATAATATAATTTACTAAGAACGCTTAAGAAATAGAAACAGTGTAAGAAAACTATCAGTATTTCGATACATGTAATAGATAATAAATATAGGAATGAGGTTGGTCGATAAAGTTTGACGATCATTTAACATTGGCGGTTGTTTGAAGTTAAAAGTAAAAACTTAAATGGAAATAAAACCTTGAGTTTTCAATGCGTCACTAAGATTAGGTCGAGAAAAATAACAATAAACTGTCATCTTGAAGATAAGTTCTTTCAAGTTCTAAGCAAGATAGAAGATTTGAATTTTTATCAAAAGATAGTTTGGTTTAAGTATAAAAAGTCCATAGTTAAACAGTTGAAAAAAATGCCGAAGCCTCAAGTCTCACATTCACTCAGTTTATAAGTAAACGAGAGGTTATTGATTAATCGCCTCGAAAGCAAAACAAAGCGAGGATTAAAAGCCTAAAATATGTCTTCAGCTGGATGACAGAAATAAAATGACTCATGAATTAACTGAACTACTTAGAGATTCCATATTAGTTGTTGTAACAAGAGAAATGACCAACATTGAGGGAGAAAGTAACAACATATGCCAACCGAGGCATTTGAGTTTCTTAGCTCGAAAAAAGCCTTAATACTTAAATCTCCTAAAGCTTGAAAACTGCTTACACATACAAAAATAGCGTTGTCCAGCACAAAAAAATGGCAATAACGAATAAATCCGAAACGACTTAAAGCTACGCTAAAATAAATTTCAACATTAAAGCACACGAGACCACCGCTAATGACCCCAATGTACTCGTGACTGATGGTAAGAGCGACTTCAAGCAAATCGGCTTTTTCGACTGGAGAGCAACGTAACGAGATTTGGTTTCAACTGGAAACGACGTTTCTTCCACTAGTGAATCAGAAGATCTGATAAAGTAACAACGACTAAGTCTACAAGCAGCGCAACCAGATGCAGAGCTTCCAATTTTAAGGCCGTGGCCATAGTCCACTAACGATAGTATCTGACGCTCGCTCTAACGCCTATGGGTCACCGTACCCACGCTACCATCTCCTACAAGGCAAGCATTTCTGTCCTGAGCCGACGCGTCGGATCCAATTGAATCAACTACCGGGACATAAGTTTCTTCAAGGGGATTGTTCTCAAAATACTGTTTGGATAGACGGTTAGTTTTTGCACGAGAATTGTGATTTGGACGATTTGCACCCTCGGAGTCGAGATTCTCGGCGTAATCAGTCGCTCGTCCTCGGCTTGAATTACGAAAAGCCGATAACCGAAATGGAGATCTCGTATCAGAGCTACGGTCTGTCGTTCCGCTAGGCTGCGGTCGACGAGAAGGCAAATGGCGTGAGTTTGAAATCACTGGGGTGGCGTGGTGGGCTTCCACAGAGGGTCTAGAGCGGCGCCAGCTGACTTCGTGCGGAGCGGCTGAGTTGTCGTGCTGCAAAGTTAATGGTTTCTGTGGAGAGTGATATTTTATTTAATAATGGAATAATCGCATTCAAGGGGAATACTAAACAAGCAATGGACTGATGACAGACCTCTCACCTTACAACAGTGTTCGATCATAAAATATGAAAAAATTCGAAGCCGAATTCTGGATGTTTATATTGAAATTCCTAATTATTCAGAGCGTTATACATTACCTAGCCATGATTTAGACGCGCAAGGAACGGTTTGGCGATCTGGTTATGGAGCACGGTCATCCCAACTTCCTTTTCATCTACAGATATGCATGCACAATCAGCGACAAAAGATAGAACAACAATATTTTTCAAAACATTAACAAGCTTGTAAAAAAAATTTCCAATTCAGTTAAGCCCATCATATATTGATATTGAATTACGTATACCATAAAATCAATAAAATAAATACATGCTCATGCTTACTGCTGGCAGTTGGCGAGAGGCTTCTTCTTTTGAGTTACTTCTCTTGTATCGTTTGTGCAACGAATCGCTGGTGGCAGGTGTTGGTCTCTTCACATGCATTAGGTTCGATATGTTGCGAAGAGATTCAATTTTAGGAGGTTCGGTGAACTGAGAATCTGGTATAACAGAACTATCATCAGACGAATTATCGTGATCATTCTTTAATGAGGTCGGATGGTTAAGTTTCACTGACACGTTCGACAAGTCACGCTGCAAAACATTCGTTGCGACTTCGGCCATCTTCGTGTCTTTGACTACGAGATGAAAGGCAGCAAGCGGCTCGTTCACTGAAGCTACGGCTGTATTTTGGGGCACATTCGTTCCGTAACTTTTCTTGGTCGACGAGGTACGATCAAGCAACAAGCCTGCGGTATGAACTTCAGCACTGTCACTTTGGCTTGGGATATTCGTCACGTTTTTATTATTAGGCGCAGCGAAATTGTCCGTTAGCGGAGAATCTCGCTTTCTCATCTGAAAAGGGAGATGTCGTTCAATCCTCGTAGACAGGTGACCAATAGAGAGATTTTCTTTATAAAAAACAAGGTTGAGTTTAGATCTGATACATGCGAGGAAACAACAATGACGGTATTGACAGATCTCTGATACGAAGCGAAAATCAGTGCCAAACATAATCAAAGAGTTAATCGAGTGCGGCATTTTTTCTTACGGAAATAATAATCAAAGACATGGGAAATTAAAAAAAAATGTACATAAGAAAGTACACTTTTCGAACGTTTTTAAAGTAATACAATATTTTCAAAACGACCCGAGTTCGAGTAAAGAATAGAATAAACGTAAAAACTAAAGTAAATTGTAAATTTAAGCTTGCCTGCAAATGCGCCGCTGTGTCGCATTCTTTCGTTTTGTTGAGCCTTTCCAGGTTCGACACTTTCTTAGCCATCACCATGAATCGCACCTTGAGAAGCCGTAGGTTTTCTCTGTATTGCCTCAGCAGCTTGGACACCTTTGCCAACTGCAGGAACATAGCAAATACTTTAGCATCTCTCTAATTGCAGGACAAAAGGTGATGTTTTAGCGTCGTTCTAACTGCTAGGTAAGGGGCGATAATTTCGCATGATTCTTCATGCAGGACCAAAATTGATACTTTTGTTTTTTTTACTACAGGAATAACAGTTAGTTCAGAATCATTTTGGTTGCAATCTTGATATTATACTTTATCATCATTTTTATTACAAGGTCAGAGGCGATGTTTTTAGCGCCATTCTTGTTGCATGACATGAAGTGAGAGCTTGACATTGTTATACGTATGAAAAATTTTTTCTGGACCTCGGGCTCCAGAACAATGGAACAAAGGTGCAGCAATGTCACCAAGCAAGAAATTTAAAGAAACTAACCTTCTTATCCTTCCGTGCTACGTCATCCACCAGCAAATCTCGCATCTGTTCAACGTCCTGTAAGGTTTTTGCCAGCGACTCCATAGCCTCTGTCTTCATATCGAGCAGCTGCGCGCTGCGCTGTTCGTTGCTCTTCACTTCTTGGAGCAGACCTTGGAGCTCTTCAACGAGCGAAGCTTTTTCCTCGAGATCCCGAGTCAGATGAATGCATTCGAGATTCTTCAGCTGGAGGCTGGCTTCAAATGACGAGCGTTCAGTTACTTGGGCATTTTTTTCGTCCTCCAAGAGTTGAACTTTATCCTGCAAAATTAAACATCAGTTAACTTACATAAGAAAACTACTCGATCAGGCAATTTGTCGTACATCAATTATATAGGTTACAATTGTGATGATTTAGTAAACCTTGTTTTTGTTGTTCAACGATACCAAGTGATTTAAAATGAATCGCTTGTGGTTTTTGTGAAGAAGGGTGAAAACGTGAAGCTCAAAGAATTTCAACTCACCTGAAGCGATTTCACAGATTCGCCCATGGCAAAAAGATCCATTTCAGACTGTCTTAATCTTCCACTGAAGTCTTCACCAGCTGCGATCGCACGTTGCAGTTTCTCGCTCAACCCTTTCATGTCCTCTTCTTTCTCTTTAAATAATGCGACGAACTTCTGTACCCATACTTGCAATTCCTTGACAACCGAAAGATCTGATTCACTTTCATTTGTTGAAATGCATTGGAGTCGCTCGTATTCAATGGAGTTTGTTTCCTCAGAATTGTGTGAAATTTTTTCTTCATCTTGTTTCATGTCCAGGTTGTGAGAAATTGTTGAGCTCTTAATATCGGTAGAGTCACATTTCAAGTCGACTTTTTCATGATTTTCTTCATCACTTTTCAAGGTATTAGGGCTGTCAGTATTTTTGACGCTTTTTTTATGATCATCCAGAATTTCACACTCACGGATTTCACTGCGAGGCGAATTTATACCATCACGCTTTTGTGACAAGTCCTGGAGAGAATCATTGCCCTCTTTTCCATGGATGGAGGGAATATTTTCAATATTTGTGCGTTTCAAGTCCTCATCCTTGGGCAGAATGGTGACATAATTTCGATCTGCTTGGACGTTCGCCTGGATAGATTTCACCTCTTTCAGTAGGTTCCGTATTTCATCTCTGAAGAACGCATTAATTTCCAGTGCTTTTTTCTTCTCCTTGCGCTCCACGTCCAGAAGTACTTCCATTTTTTTATTCATCTCGTCACTACGAAGCAATGCCTCATTTTTTTCTGTATTAAGACGATTGATGTCACCTTGTAATGCCAGCACTTTCATTTCAATTTCAACTTTTGCTTGCTCCAATCCCGATCTTGCGTGATCCAATTCTTTAACCAGATTTTCCTGAACCAATCGACAATTTTCTTGCAGTTCCTTCTGTTCCTGTGCAGCTTCTGATAATTTGGTTTTTGAGTCTTCTAGTTCCTCCTTTAACCTCAGTTCACTGTTCTTCATCAATTCTTTCTCAGTATTTTTCTCTTTTTCCAAGCGAGCAATATTCTGCATTAACGCTTGTCGTTCCAGATCACCAATTTCCATAGCTTCGTCAAAACGTTGCTGAATGCAATTTTTTTCCTCTGCAAATGCATTCTTTTCTGCTTGGCAAGCTTCAAGATCTTCAAGAGCCTTACGGTGACGCGTAAAAGCATGTTGGGCCAGAGAAAGCACACACTCCGTTCCAGCAGATGAGTCGGTGATTTGCTCAAGAATGGCCATCACTGACGTCTTTTCGTTCTTAAACTCGGCGAGAAGCTCTTCCAAAGTATTCAATTTCGTAAGCAACAATTCATTTGAATTTTCAACAAGTACTTTTGAGCGATACATTTGTTCGTTGCGAGTTTCCTGAGAACTAAACAGAGACTTTGACCTTGAGATTGAGTTCTTTACCTCAGCGAAAAATTCCGTTAAATTCTTCATGTCTTCCTGAACCTGTAAGACTTCATTAGAAAGCTCTGACTGCTTCTCTAGCAAAAGCTTCTCTCTGTGCAATGACAGATTTAGTTCACGGGTAAGATCTTTCACCTCGGAATTAGCGGCCTCGCATTTAATGGAAGTTTCACGCAAGTTTTGAGCAAGAGTTTGGGCGATCGAGCGATACTCATTATATGATTTTAATGTAAGCTTCACGTCTTCTTTCATGGACTGCACAACATAAGCGCTTTCGATGGCCACACTTTGAATTGCATCAACCGTTGAGAGCATCGTTGCAGAATGTGCTAAAGCATTTTGATTACAATGTTCATGACAGTCTACGATTCTCTCAAGAGATAAATTGGTGTCGCTTTCAGGTAAGCCACTCATCTCGTCTTCATGAGAATCTTGTTCAGTTCCAGATTCTCGTAAACTAATAGAATCTCTTTCTTTCGGGAAGTCGTAAGGTCCATCTTCAGGCACAGATTCAACAGTCACTTTTGCTGGGGTACCAGGGTCACCTGTGACGAAGATCTCTTCATTCACAGGAATGTCGTGCACAAGGTCGCTTTCGGTTAGGGACAGCTCCACAGAGCTGCCCGTAGAAGGTAAGCTGGCTAATTGGTCGGGGGGCGGAGTTGGTAATCCGTTATCTGAAAACATGACTTCTGATAAGGACGGCATAAAATTTTTTCACAAAGATTAAAAATATGAAATGATGGGAGTGTAATGCAAGAAATAGTCGATTTAGGAACGATAATTCGTAACAGCATAACGAAAATCTGAGATAAAATCTGAAGAAAAATTTAATCGTAGTCATTTCTTAAGTCGAGACTGACAATTAGTGATTATTCAGGTGCTGATTCACGCACTCGTTAAAAACGTGAGCATACAACAGTAGGTTAATAGTGAATCTAAGACCAATTTAACCCCTACAATTTCGATCATAATAATCGGAAATTAAGATCAATTTTTTCAAAAAATTAATGTATAGTTTTGGTAAAATTCAAGCATAATACAGCTTAACTGAGACCTTTTATCTGGGTTCTTTGTATGTATACTGAGAATTTTACTAAATAAAAATAAATTTTACGAGTGACGCAGTTTACATACCACAATCGAAGTCCAAACATTGACCCCTGTTCAGGCTGGGGGAATCCGAAGGAAGACCGGCTAGTAATTCTGCATTTCGGATGACAAGAGCGTCCCTTTCCTGAAGAGCCTCCTTGAGTCGTGCTTCCATCAGCTCCAACTGGCTGGTCATTGCTAGTGTTGAGGAGTTGTCCGAACATAAACACTCGCTGGTGCGATTACGCTGTTCTTCTTGACCAGCCAGTGAGTCTAAGCGGTCAATGAGCTCAGCATTGGCAGTGTAGAGTTCTTCGCACGCAGAAACGAGGTTTAGCTTCTGTTGCTCCAGTTCTTTCTTGTTCCTCTCCAGCAACTTGATGCGTGCATTCAACTTTTCGTTCGATTCACAGAGTTCGAAGTTCAAATGGAACATCTCCGTCTGTTTCTTCTGCAGGGACTGGGTCAACTTTTCTTTCTTCTCAAGCTTGCATGCAAGTTGTTGCTGCTCTTTGTCAGAGCTGAGACAGAAATTGCTTGTAAGATCACAACTAAAAAGTGGAATTGTAAATGATAAACTTTGGCCATAGATGAAAATGAGGCTTGTCGGACATTTTTAATAAAAGCCTAAAACTCTCATTCACAATTAGCATTCAAATACATATATACAAAAATCATTTTAAATATTGCCTTCTGAGAATTATGGCTAACATGTTGCAAACAGCAAAACACGTTATCTTGAGATGCACGTGAAACACAGTTTCAACAACAATGCATCACCAAAATACATTCAAATGGAGCTTTGTAAAAGCAATTTTATTTATCATACGCACATAGCGGTTTCAGCGTTTATTAGGCCGTAGGCCTGTCGCCGATTCTTAACATTGCAGAACATTCACAGCATTTCGCGGTCTTGAACTGAACTCGCAACTCACTGCTACAATTCTGCTGTGCTTAACCGCCCGGCCTCCTTGCCGATCATCATCAACATGCCGAACATTCATCACTTACCTTTCGAGTCTATTCTTCATTTCAAGTATCTCATGAGAATGTTTGGAGCGATCCCGGTGACGGTCTTTTTCCAAATTCATATAGGATATTTCCAATTCCTTGAGCTGCCAAAATAATTGCATTATATTTCAGCCAACCCCCGCCTATTCTAGTTACAGTAGTGGTAAATTCACCCATATGCAGAATATATTGGAGAGAAGCATATGAAAACAATTATATATGCCTGGTAACAACAACACATATGTCAGGTAACAGCAACACATTCATTTATATAATGTGTAAATATTACTTTATATACTTTATACTTTAATATTAATAGCTTAGCATTTTTGAAAAGTGCAATCTGAATATCACGAATTAGACAAAAAATATAAAAGAGCAGATATGAAATCATTGCATGAGCAATCAAATTCTAATGGTCACTTAATGAACATCTATGTCTTCGGTAGGTAGTGTTCAGAATATTTGGATAAAACTGTAGTCGACAAGATAGGTGCAGCAAGGTTAAAGGATGATATAACAATTTGGTAAAACCCATTAGCACCTCATGTGCTTAGACTATTTTAAAGTTCTTAATCATGATCCACAGAAACTTGAGTTTTAATTTCTCGAGTGGGTTGTGAATGGAAAATGAGACTAGAAGCAATTGAACCTATCCTGTATCAATGAAAAGATCATTAATTCTCCAGTTAATCCTTTTGTGACTGACAGGACCTAAGTTATCTGATTTCATATATTATTAAAAACTCTTGCAAGTAAATATAACAGTCTCACATTTCAAATCTATAGTACCAACCTTTATTTCCAACTCATGGGCATGTTCTTCAGAACTCTTGAGAAGACTTGCATACTTTTTAGCCAAAGCATTAGCCTGCAAGAACTGGTTCTCTTTATCCTGAAGTGTTGTCTCCCAATCCTGCATGATTGCATATGCTTGGTTACACACATGAGAGTTGGCACGCAAACAGGCGGTCAATTCTAACATTTTTCTTCTGGTGGGCAGGGTTTTTTTTGCTTCATCAGAAAAAATGAAAAATGGTGAATTTTGATCAGGAGAGGATGCAGCCAATGGAGAACTAAATAATTCAAAAGGTGGAAAGCATGCCGTATTCTCAGTTGACAGCAGAGATGTATTAGGTGAACTTGGAGTAAGTTCACCAGAATCTCCATCAGCATGATGATGAAAATTAGTGCTATCCAACATGGTGGTTATCTCAGTTAAACCATTTCTCACCAGCTTTTCTTCTTTCAAATCAATGTCCATTGAGTCCATGGCAGGAATTGTAGACATAAGCGATTCTTCAGAGTCACTCTGCAAGATGAAATTAATATGTAAAGGTATGAGGACAAACAAATGTGACACATTATTGAACAATATAATTATCAACAATATATCTATTAAAATTCATGATGATATGAATCACTTTTCCATCTTAATTAAAAACAAAACACATAAGATCTTTTCATTTTAATTCGAATTATATGCTATGACAAAGTAGCTAATTATGCACATTGCTTACCATCATCAGGTTTTCTTCAGCTTGAGTGAGACTTGCTCCATGATCAGCCATGCCATTTAATGTTTGCAGTGACTTATCAGGGAATTGATTGCTGGGGCTGACTTGCTGCTGTATAAATTCTTCATTGCTCAAAGTTGAAGATATTTCTTCTTTAGTGTTAGACATACTTGAAGTGAAGCAATAATAACTAAAATATTTCAGAATACCAAGAAACTAAAATATTTGAGTCACCACAAGGTAAAACTTGAAACTATTATGATTAACTTGCTCTAAAAAAGATTGCTTTGCTATCTATCGTCCAATAATGTTGATAGAATAGCTGATGTCAATTTAAAACTGAAATTGGAACCAAACAAATGAAACCATCAATAATCCAACTTTTGTTGTTAGACAGCTTGAAAAACGTATAGACAGCATTAATTGGCACAAATATCAGAATCAAATAAATGCTAAAAAAAATCCCACAATACTCTGAAAATCTAGCATAGAAGGCTTGGAGAATAAACATAATTCAGTAGATCGGGAATGAGTTAGCAAACTTGTAGCTACAAGAGAAAAAATGTTGCAAATGCACAGGAATTTCTTTTATTGGTTAATTTGCATGACACTACAAAATTAATTTAATCTACATGGATTGTCACACACTACATTTTTTTCACAAGTCATTTAATCAATCCATGTAATTATTGACTTTTTAGATTAAGAAGTTAAGAACTGGATATACACACCATATAAAATTCTGGTATTGCTCAAAAATAACTTGAACTACATTCAAATGGCTGACAACAGGCAAAAGACAATGTCTACATCCCTATGTGGCATTGCTTTATTAACATGTTGAGTGTTGCCATTACATTAATTGCTGTTGTTATAGGCTGGTCTCAGTTGATGAATCCCAGTCTTCAGACAAGTGAGCAAGGTTGATACATGTTGTTAAACAATTGCATATAATTAATCAGATTATCCTGTACAACTGTTTAGCAAAATGAAATAATTGATTTTGTTTTGAGAAAACTGCATGAGATGTTGGCTCCTTAGACCCAATTTTACATTAGACAAATCCATAAAACATTCACCTAGCCAACTATGGCATAGCTGAATAACTACCATCAAACTGGGTAACATGGGATGGTTTAGAGCATTTTGTGTTAATAACTTACCATGAAAACATTTCACTAACAAGTTTGGGTTATTTTAAACATCTTTGCAAGGGCTATGGTTGAGCATCTCCAAAAATATTCCATATGCTATTCGTAAGGTGCCAGATGCAAAAAAGTCCTGAATTATCCTTGGGATTGGGGTAATCCAGGACACTTTAAATAAAACTTAATTTCAATTTATTTCAAATGTGCAGAGTGTACTCACCTATTACCAGCAGTACTCTAAAGTCCTCCTCTCCCCTTGTAGATGATTTAGATGTATTATAGAGGACATTTTATATGATTTTTACTAGATTTTCCTTTATTTATGTAATATTACTGCTTACATTTCTATTAACAAAAACTATTTTTTCTGTTCTATATCTAACACTATTAAACAAATTTCCTTTTCATACAGTAATGCTTGCACTTAATATATATACAGTATTTTAACTTAAAACTAAACTGTTGTGGTTACTTCTTGGTTGTATAGATTACATCTAACCAAATCTACTATTGGCCAACTTGCTAAGCACGACGTTACTGAAAACGTGCTTCCCACGCTTTGTGCTGAGGAAGGTTAGATTAAGCCTGATGTTCTCTCATCCAACAACAGCCATGTCAGGCCATTTTGTGTCGGTGCTCTTCCTCAAGAATTGAACCATGATGACATTGTAGTCATCTTGTGGTTGTTCTCTGATGCAAGCAACATAAAATTTCTCCTGTTGTACCCTTTCCTCTAAGTTTAACCTTACAGGGATAAAACCATCTTCCTTCAAGCTGATGTTAGAGATGTCCTCAGGTTCCTGCATCTCATCTTGAAAATGGGCCATCTCTTGAGCAATAGCAAGGACAGTTTCATCATTTGATTTAACCTCCTTCTCATCATTTGCATTTTTTATTAACTAATGATTTCCTCACATTTGCTGTCTGCTTCTTTGGCACTGGTGTTGTTGCTGAGCCTGAAGTGCTGGCCCTTGGCCCTGTGTTCAACTTCACAGGAGTAAGCTTGATGGCTTTCCTTTGTTTGGGTGCATTATCCACTTCAGTGGGTGGTGAGCAGATTTGTTGGAGTTTATTCAGCAGGGAATCAGAGACCAACTCCCTCATATTTTCAATATACTCTTGCATGGTCCCTGTGCAAAGTTTCCTGAGTAAGCGCTCCCTGCCAAGTGGACTTGCTGACAACTTGCTCACAACTTCAACTGAGATCTCTGCCCTCTTCTTGTTGAAATTCTGACACGCTCTCCTAGAGAGCAAGTGCCTGTACCGGGTATTAAAATTATTAACCCAGTCGATGCCTGGCAGATTGTTTTTGAAGCAGGTAACCTTCCTGCCACTCTTATTCAAGAAGTTTTTTACAGTCATTTGGATCTCAAGGTGGGTCAGAGGACAACCCCAGTTCGTCAGAACAGCAAAGTAATGGGAAATGGCTTTTCCTCATGTGCAAGAAGTGCAATTTGGTGCCCGACATGAAGGAAGTCATTACATGGATTTCCAGCAGTCCTGCGTTTGCTAAAGTATCTATGCAGCGTATTCCGAGGCACCTTAGGCAGCTGCGCTGCATCTCTAATGGTCATGCCATTGACACACCTTTTCCACAGCTAAATTCATATCACTAAGCATGTAAGTTTTCCTCCACAAGCTTACGTGATGAGGCTTATAATTTCTAACCATCTTAATTGGGTTAATTTAAATCATTGTAACAAAAATAATGATAATAAAAAATCACACTTGAAAAAGGAATATTTTAATGATAAAAATCAATTTTTTTAAAGAAATAAATCATAGTTATGCATCAATATTTCATCAAGTGCAATTTTTTAGTTAACCTGAGCCTTCACTTAACCTGAGCCTTCTGCTGTAAATGCGTTTTTATGGGTGGCCCATATTACCTCGGGCCTCGGGGGTCCCAATATTACCCCAGTTGGGTGTCAATCATTACCTAGTCTTGCAGAAATGTCCAAAACCTGTGTGCAACTTTTATGTAAGTAAAACTTTTTAATACGGTGAATATTTTTTTGCTACAGACCTTAGCAGAGGTACTTTTCCAAAATCTCACTTTTCCCACTTTTAGCAGCTTTTCGGAGATAGTAAAAATGTTGAAGTTTATGCCACTATTTTTAGTTTTGCAATATATTTAAATTAGTTTAGCTGCTACAACATTTCTACAAAAAGTGGGATGACTGTTCCAATTTACCCTGCCTGTCCCCTTTTACCCATTTTGATGGTAGGTTATAAAATCAGAAAATAGCCACTCGAAATAGATTGCATTGTTTAGTTATCATAATCAATGGTCAAGTAGCAACCATCTAGTTCTTCAAGTTTAGAAATATTTTGGATAAACTGGTGCCATTTATTTTTATTGATTGTTTTACTTTTATAAACCATAACTGTCAACAATGTGAGTCTGCTCACAACTAAAAATTGGATAAAAATATGCGTCCAAATCTTTCCTACTACACTTGACTGAAGTTGACTCATTTATTAATAGTAAATAGAAAGTCTTATTGCTACATTTTTCCTCTGCTTGAGAAGATGTCAACATAAATTGCTGGTGCACATGCTTTTCACAGGTAATTTTTTGCAAATTTATATAAAAATAAATTTTACAACTAAAACATGTTGCTCATATGAATTGGCTAAGAAAATCTTTGGGAAATCATGGTTGAATGGGTAAAATAAATTATGGTCAGTTTTGACAAATTTGGCCAATACTGAAATATACAGATACACAGGTTGACTTTTTCTACATTCTTTGTCTGGCAGCTGTGGAAACCAAGTGGACATAATAAATATTTACAGAAGTCTATAATAAATAAATAGCTTTGTAGCTTTACTGGTAATTAGGTCAATATTAGTTTCAAATTGATAAACTTCTGCATGGAAATGAGGCACCCATGGCAGGTGCTAATCATTGGCATTTAGCCTACCAATTGTAAAAAAAATGCGTTTAGAAATTACTTTTTAAAGACAACACTTCTGAAGAATCCAGTGTCTCTGGTGTAAAACATAGGCAATGAATTTCTATTTTCATTATGAAATATAAAAAAATTAATTTTCAATTTAATTTTCAAAATTAAAAAATGTTAATTTTTCAAAATTATTCATTCTGTCAATTAATACATGCATTGTCTCCAACTTTATGCAAGTGTGCAAAATTTCTGATCAATTGGAGAGGTAGAAATGTGTTAAATATTGATTATAAGTTATGTAACAGTCAAATATATATTTTTAAATATCAAAAATAAAATTTTTCAAACTTTCAAAATTATTTATTCTGTCTATTGATTAATGCATTGTCTCCAACTTGACACCAGTGTGCAAATTTTCAGATCAATTGGAGAGGCAGAAGTGTGTTAATTATTGATTATAATATTTGTAGCAGACAGACAAACAATTTGAAACAAACAAATAAGAAGTGAAGTTAATGAGAAGTGTTGTAAATAATATGCGTTTAAAAAATACTTTTTAGAGACAACACTTTTAAAGAATCCAGTGTCTCAGATGTTACACATGTACAATGAATTTCTAATTTTATTTTCATATATTAAAAAATTATATTTTATTTTTTTTTTTTGTAATTAGAATAGTTAAAATTTTCAAAATTATTTATTCTGTCAATAAATACATATACGGTACTATCAGTTATGCATTGTCTATGACTTTACGCAAGTGTGCAAAATTTCAGATGGATTGGACAGGTAGAAGTGTGTTAAATATTGATTATAAGTTAAGTAGCAGACAAAATTATTTTTTTAATTTTCTTAATGTAAATTTTTTTTTTTTTCAAAATTATTATTCTGTCAATTTATTCATGCATTGTCTCCAACTTTACGCAAGTGTGCAAAGTTTCAGATCAATTGGAGAGATAGAAGTGTGTTAAATATCAATTATAAGATTTGCAGCAGTCTAGCAGGCAGACAAACAAACAGACAAGAAGTGAAGTTAAAGAGAAGTGTTGTCAAATAATATACATTTAAAAATTACTTTTTAAAGACAACACTTCTAAAGAATCCAGTGTCTCCAATGTTAAAGATGTACAATGAATTTCTCATTTTATTTTCGGATATTAAAAAAAGTTAATTTTTAATTTGTTTATTTATAATTTTTTTTAAATTATTTATTCTGTCAATTGATTCATGCATTGCCACCAACTTCACACAAGTGTGCAAAATTTCAGATCAATTGGACAGGTAAAAGTGTGTCATAGGCCTATATCAGTTAGGCTATAAGATTTGTAGCTGACAAAATTATTTTTTCAATTTTTTAATATTAGAAAAAAATTTTTTTTACATCATTTATTTTGACATTTTATTCTTGGATTGTCTCCGACTTTATGCAAGTGTGCAAAATTTCAGATCAATAGGATAAGTAGAAGTGTGTTAAATTTTGATTATAAGATTTGTAGCAGTCAGACAGACAGACAAACAAACAAGAAGTGAAGTTAAAGAGAAGTGTTGTAATAAACAAATTCTGAGAAGCTTATAAATGGAAAACCTGAATGGAAATTTGTTCTAATATGATCAATGAGGTATTGCAGTCTACAGTCCACCAGACTGACCAGAGAGGAATTTGGGACTGGAACTGGAAGGGGCAATATATTAGCATAAGCTTGTGCACTGTGCACATAATGCACAATTTATTGCACATATCATATTAGATTGGAATTGGATCAAAAATGTTTAATTGAATTTTACCTTATATTTGGCTAATATTTTGGAAATGATCATGCTACTACACTGGATCAATCTTGAATACAGGAACCCACATTCCCAGAATTCTACCCTGCCACTGCCGGTCTGAGTGCAGACTCCAGGTTGGAATTCCCAAACTTTAGGATGCTTGTGTAATCTTGTGGCCCAAAACATTGCGTGATCTATTTTTCCATCCACTTAGCCTAGAATCTTGCAACTCAGTTGTGCTAAGTGCAGACAGTGCAGTTTTTCAACAATGATATAATTTGTCTACCAATCAAATATCATAATAGCACTAGCACTAGCAGACCTGTAGCAGCTCCCAAAAATGCAGGGAGAGCTCCAGTCATGGAAATGACAAATGATACTAGATATTTTCCAAGCCACTTGCCAGTGTCCATCTAAACCTAATGCCGTCAAATAACGTCAATAAAAAGACTGTCAATACTGATCATAAATATAATACCTACTCAAATAACTCAATTCAAATTCAAACAGATTATAGCAATTTAGCCTATTATCAATGTTACAAGTTCCAACAAGTATTCCTAGACTCCTAAGTACCTAGTAACTAAAATGTTTTAGAATAATCCAGTTCTTAAAATTGATTGTTTCAATTAATTCAATAGCAATTTACATGCCAAATTTTATTGATTTAATCATATTCATAGGTAATGGCATTTTGATTATTTCAGTTATCAGGCTATGTCGGCAATCGGCATAATGCCGGGCTTTATGCCGCTTAGCCGCTATGCTATGATTTTTTTACTATCATGCTATGGCCTAGTAGTAGTAGCTAGGGCTGATTTTCCACGTTTTTGAGACACTTTCAGCTATTTGCGTCAGAAGAAGCTATGACTTTTACAAATTTAAATTAAATGACGGTATGACACATTTCAAGTTATTGGCACTAATTATTACGTAGCTACTAAACACATCATGTTATGTAGCCTAGTTTCGTTTCGGACTTTCAGCCGGCTTCCAGATCTGTCTAAGCAAAGACATCTCCGAACACCAATCACGTTCTAATTGTACCGTAGCAGCCACTAGCAGGAGTAGGTAGCTTAATAATTTGATTCCATTAAATAACTATGATTGATTTTATATCTGATTAAGTTTTTTCTGCATACCTAATAGTATTTTGTACAGAATGGATAAGGACAAGAATGTGCCGTTATCGAACTTACACGGCTGCACCATGATTTCACCACCACTCAATGTTCGACAGTTCGAATGTTCGACGTCTTGCAGTTGCAAGTGCAACTTTTCGTATCAACTAGCTATCAACGCTGCCGCTGGCTTAATTAGGACGTCATATGTGACGTCATACGTCACTTGATTTCAAGGAGTTCACGTCTCGCTGATCGGCTGATGTGCTGTTTTAAGTGCGCTGTGTATTACTCGACTCTAACGTAAATTGATGAAATAATTATCATTGGAACTCGTCTTGCTGTAACTTTCCGTTTAATAGTGAACCCTTGGGTATTGGATGCATCAACCGCCGTCGGTGACTAGGCGTGAAAGGATACTCGTAAAATTTTGTTAGGTAATACGATTTATTGAATGTCAGGTAAAAATTAGGTAAAGGCCGGTCCTCACGCTCAGTTTTACACAACGACATTCTGCGCAGTTTTGAGTCGGAATGAAATCGTTGCAATTTTTAGAGCGTCCACACGGTGCCGACTCATGGTTGAACCATGAGTCGACTCATGGTTGAACCAATATATTGTATTTGTACAACCATGGTGCCGGTCGTGCCGACTTATCTGTGTAGTTTGCTCAGTTTTGCGCGATCTCGCCATGGAGGAGGCAGTATTTTGATCAATTTTGACATTGTGCCTTGTTAAAAAGATGGGATCATTTAGGAAATGCAAGGAATCATAATACCAGAGAGATGGCTTGTAGATGTTTATTAATTTTTCCCAATTATTTACGGTAAATACTACTAAAATTAGTATTTTTTACAATCGTTTCTTTGTTTGCGCTTCTATCGATTTCTTTGAATTTTTCTACTAGCTCTCACATGTCTCCATTTTTTTTTGTCCCTGTTACTATAGTCCTTGAATTTTACTTGCCAAATGCAAGAAAAATTTTCGCAGCGAGCAATAAATTCTCGAGAACATTACCGAAGGTCAGCCATCGTCGCCAGAATCATTGAAACTGTGCCCAAATTGAAACGGGAAACAGTGCTACCCGTCTACACGTTCCGACTTATCTGCGCAGGTCATCGAAATCCATGGTTAATTATATACTAGTTCAAGTATTATCGAAATCTATGCTTTGTAACACAGATATCGCTGCAACTGTGCAGTCATCCCGCCGGCTTCAAAACTGCGCAGTTTTCCCGTCTAAATAACCGTAAATTAATAATAACCTTAGTAGTCATAGACAAATAAATGGTTTACATATAGAAATGCAGCAACGAAGAGTCTTTTTTCGAACTGCATTGAAGTTCATTTGCCTCCCCCATTATGCAAATTAAACCTTTCAGAAGCTTATTCCTTATTATCATATATTATTTCTGTTAGCGGAATATTTTTTACCATGAAAAGAAGAAAAAACTTATTCGGACTCCTCTCATTAATATCAACACCGTGGGATGTGAACAAACGTTTACAGTCAGATACACGGAACCACAGTTTGCCTGTTATACAGTACTGTGCAAATTAGTTCGGACAGTGCTATTTTGGAGAGTCATTTGCTTCCTAGTATGACAAGGGACTTTCCTGATGGAGATGGCATTTTTTCAGCAGGATCACGCACCATGCCATACTTCACGTAATATGCGCACATTCTTTGAAGAAAGTGGACTGGAGATTTTATACTGGCCTGGAAATTCTCCAGACCATTGAAAACTCATGGGCTCTAATCAAACAAAGACTCCTGAGAGAAGACTGTTCGACAATGGCAAAGCTAATTTGTGCTGTAATTAGGTCCTGGGATCATGATGAGCAAGTGACTAAAATGTGTTCAACTTTGGTCGAATACATGCCAAATTGTGTTCAAATGCTTGTGAAAGCAGGAGTAGGTCATGACTGCTATTAATTATATAATATTTTGCACCATTGGTATGTTTTTTCAAACAAAACTTCAATGTGGCAAATAATTGTGTTATTTCAACCATTGTCCGAACTAATTTGCACAGTACTGTACCTTGAAAGCACTCAATGTTATTCATTTATAGTAGAAAGATGAGTAATGAAGATCTAGAGGTGTTCGTGAAAATGAACATCTACTTTCGCATACAAGACTCATCTTTGTAAATGCAATTGTGGAGCAATGCGTTTGATTCAAAATATTAGAACGCGTGATTTTCATGACACCGACAATATGGAATATCCAGTCTCTCCATAAATATTATTCGCACTAACTTGGTAATTTCAGGCTCTAAAGTCTAAAACTTTGCCGTATATTCTACCTACACGCTATAACGGAATACAACAAATCCTTAATCTGTGAAGTGAAATGTTATTCTAAAAGAAACGAGCTTTTTTCATATATAAAATAACATAATTTTTGGTGAAATGAAAACAATCGCAAATGCCGATATCATTTATTGGAAGTCGCAATAAATCTTGCTACAAGAGATGCTGTCACATCGGGTCAACCACATGTCATGAAAAGAGTTAACGGGCAAATATGTACCGTAATTGAACAGTAACAAGAAGACAGAATTACCATTTGATAACCTAACAAATAAATTGAGCCATTATCTTTTTTAACCTGTTCTCAAGTAAAAATTATAACACGAGGATTAGCTACAAAGCTTCGCAAACTATTATGTATTACGAGCCATAACATCTATTTTCATCCAATGTGGGGTCGGCAGAAGTTACCGCCTCAAACGCGTGAAACACTCACTTCAGGTTTTTCGTAGCGAAGGCCACTCCATCAAATAGAATAGAAGTGTCGGCGTTGAAGAAATAGGCCCATGGCCTGAGCTGTTGCCGATTCTTGAACTTTTTGTGACTTGATTCACAAGGGATCCGGCTTTTGGAACCCGATCTTTCCATAGCTGACGATTGATTGAGATAGCTGCTGGACTTATTGCCTGGTCAAATATTCGAACAAAGATCGTTGGGGATACCATGATCGTTCATCAACAAGTAAAATACGGTAATTAATTAGGTATTATAGAATACAGGCAAAATAAAGTACAGTAATTGATTAATCACGTACAGTCATTGGGAATCTTTAACGTGATTTATGAACAAACTGCTATATTATTTATAATATTAATTGTTTTGTAAGTCATAAGACAGGAATACACATGACAGAATTTATTACTATTTGAAATAATATCAGAATTTTCAGATATGGAACAGAGAAATTTGCCTAGATGATTTAAAAACAGAATCTTGAAATCAAAATGTTTTGCGGTTGTCTTGAAAACAACTTGCAACGAAATAACATTAAATTTAGCAACGCGTTTCGGGCAGCACCCCGTCCTCGTAAATGTAACCCGGCATAGACAGCGTACTCGGCCGACCCAAGACCTCCCAGTCGAAGCCTTTAGTCACATCGATTTTCCCCATCAGTTTCCCCTCATAGTTCTCAGGACAAGGTTCCTCTCCGTACCTCCAAGTTTTCTCCCTTCTCAGTGGCTTTCTCGATTTCGGAAGGTGATTAGGTTTGCCGAATGTCTCAAAAGTATTTTTTTCGAATCTGGAGCAAAGTTCGACTATACCTCGGCAGGCGCGATCGTGCTGCGCTGCAGCGCCAATTGTTTTGGCCTCGAATTTACTGCATCTGCCATCAGGCTGTTTTCCGTCATTTGGCTCAACATGATACGCCATGTCATGTACGCCTGCTTTGTCACTGTCGGATGAAATTTCATTCTCAGGAGACGATCGTCGAGCGAGAACAGTGCTGGACCATTTGCTGGTGGCCAGCACTGCTGGCACAATGCTGGATACGAACTCTCCAGCTGATAGCTCTGAAGCTGGTGCCTCTGCGAGCCAGTCGTTATAGGCAACAACTTTACTCGCAGGAGTACTGACACTGAAACTTCCACTTTCGACTTCCACAGACGTGACGTTTTCTCCTGACAAGTCTTCGTGTTGAACAGAAATACCGTTTCTGTTAATCTGATTGCCGTTAGAATTTGCGTCACTTCTCAGTTCGGTGATGGCACCTTTTACTTGGAGCGAAATAGTTTCTTTTTTCAACATTGGTGGAATAGATGAAGTCGATGGCAAATTTGGAAGAGGCTTGGATATAACATGAGAGTTATAATTACGATCAGTTTCAATTTTTATTACCGGTTCAGGCATAAACTCGGCTGCAGCATTACAATGCCGAGGATCGGCGTCAGCCTTGGGAACAATACTTACTTCAGGGTAAAGGGTCTTAGATAATTTTTTTTTCAGTACGAGTTTCTTCGTATTCTTCTCGTAATTACATTTGGTATTGTTAGAAAAATGAGAAATTTTGCTCGGCAAAGAAGGAATGTTGCTGTTGGGTTGAGAATTGTTTCTGAAATTTTCGCTAGTGATATTGGGGGAGAGATGAGACGAAGTGTTAGATAGAACAGTCGAGGATGGAATCTCTTTAAGATGGGACTGAGGAACGAAGGATTTTGGACTCCTTCTCTTCGGAGGAACCACAGACCGCAGATCTTGTTTAATATCGTCGGCGTAGTGGGTTAGATATCGTCGCGATTGCATGACACGACGATTTTCCAGCAAGTCTTCTATCACTTGGCTCACTCTACTCTCAATTTCAGATTCACCACCGGAATCATCAAGACAATTACTAATTCCGACCTGATTCAAGGCACTGCATCCAACATCATATCGACGATTTAAAAAATTATTTTCCTGACAGCTGAGCATACCGAGATTTTCCGATTGAACTTTTTCAACATCATGATTAAAACTTAGCGCTTGAAGACGCCTCTCTGCGTCCTTGACCTGTTCTGGAACTGGCTTCATACATTGTAACGACTCTTTATTTTGTCCTATAATTTCTTCATTTACTTTTTCCTTAGCTGGAGTCTTCACTGGAATGCAGCCTTCTTTCTGGACAGCTCTGTAGAGGGCGATATATCGGGCAGCTGCGTAAGCCTGCGGCACAACAAATGAAGAACAAAACGAAACTTTGCTCAGCGGGAAGCCACTCAGTGCTGGGGGCTCAAGAGTCCGCAGGAACTCGATAACAAACGAATAACAGTTGTACGTTGACTCGTCGTAACTGAAAAACAGATATCAAATGCTTGAAAAACATCAGATTAAAATCAGAGAGACGGAATACACTAGAAGATTTGCTAAAAAATGGTACGTACAATTTTGTTTTCTACACATTTCTCAGTACTATGTTTTTTCAGTATACAACGATCAAGGCGACAAACTCTGATATGTTTAGTATTTGTTCAAAATTTTAATAGTTTTACCAGTTTCATAACTATTACAATTAATTGAATAAAAATGAAACAAGGATTGTTTTTGCAGTCCCATGAAGAAGGCTGGGAGCTTTGCTTCACTTGAAAAATTTGCACAGCAGTTAAAACCTGTTTATCATGACCATCCATGCGATGTAGACTGATCTCTGTTCGGACCAGTCGTGGAAAACTATGGCGCTTTGGCCATACTATCAAAAATAGTTGGTCCGTCGGCCAATCATTGGCGGCCTCTAAACTTAAACCTCGTCTGTAAAGTTACACCCATCAATCATAGACGAGTAATCGGCCGTTACGTGTACTTAGGCAAGTTTTGATTGTATACGGCTCTTGAAGACTAACCTATGCCTTTTGACGGAATAACGGCTTTTCAATCAAGAGAAGTAATACTGCTGTAGCCTGACCTCTGAGCGGATCAGTCTTCGGAATTAAAGTTAGCCATATTGAAGACTAACCTCTGTTCGGACCAGTCGTGAGAATATATGGTGCTGTAGCCTGACCTTTGAGCGGATCAGTCTTTGGAATTAAAGTTAGCTATACTGAATACTAACCTCTGCTCGGACCAGTCGTGAGAAGAAATGGTGCTGGAGAGCGCAGTGTTCCAGTACTCCTGCCACACGGGATCATCGGGATCCTCAAGGATGTTTACCACAAGGCACCCGTCAAAAGAGTTGCTAGTCTCACTCTGCAGGCCGTCACCACCGAATGCGTGCACGCAGCCCTCGCTGTCCGTTATGCCGATGTGCAGATCGTCGCCGCTCTCGTAGTCGCTGCTCAATTTCAATATATCAGTGTTGTATGCCAACCAGTTCTTTGTAGTACACGAAAACGTCAACAGTTATTTTGGAACTAATATTTTTTCATGAATTGAAAGTTATTCCAACGATGTAAGGATGGCTTCTAACAAAGTGTAAAGCTCCTCATGTGACCTCCGTCACGTCAAAACAAGTCTTCTATAACCCTATTATAAAAAATATTACTATACTCACTGCAGTGAGTGACAGAGAGCGCATTTTCTCGTTCGTCCGTGACGTGGAGTCACGGACGGACATGACGAGCACAATAGCGCCTTTTTTTCCATAAATGAGAAAATGCGCTTTCTGAACAGCACTAAAACGTTAATAGGCTCAAATTGTTCATGAAAACCCTCTGCATCGGTTGGTAGATTCATTTATAAAACTATCTATATAATATTAAAATTTTAAAGATCCGTTAGAGCAAGGAACTTACTGCAGGAAATCTCCTCTTGTAGGTTTGATGACGAGTGTACACGGACTCTGCGAGGCGCGCCTGAAGGGGAACGGCAGCCTGAAAATGATAATTAAATATCAAATGATAATTACTGGCTGATAAAAAATACTTAATAAGGTATACAAGAGGATCAAAACTATGATAAATTATACACGTCTCCAAGCTCTGAAACATTGGTTGATCTCGTAACACGGCGTGCCGCAAAGCCCGCAAAAAATGAAGTATAAAATCAGACATCACGCATCAAGGTCTCAAAATTAATTATTTGAACAATTTTTTATGGACGCAATGAATTCTCTCAAAGATGCGTTGCTATGTTAACATTTAACAATAGAGAACAACATTAAAATAAGTAATCTACAAAAAAGTTATTTGATTAGTTGCACCTGTAGGGCGTGTCTTGGAGGGAAGCGGCTGTGTGCAACGGGGAGTTGCAGTGTAGACATACGTTTGGCAACTGGGCCGCAATGAGCAGTCCCTTTGAACAATGGCTATAGCAAACCAAGCCTGGATCAAGCTCCATTCCTTTTCAGTCAAGCATAAAAAATTATTCAAAATTCTGTATAAAAATAGTTTGACCGACATTAAATTAGCAATTAAACGTAGCAATTATTATGAAACTTGAAATTCAAGAATTGAGACACATAATAAATGACAAATGCACGTTAACATTAGTCGTTTTAATTCTGTCAAAAAGCAAGAGGATCCTCGCTCTTTATCTGATTTACACTTCCTCCTCAAATGAGCGACCTAATCTCTGAATTCCAAATAGACGTACGTGTTCAGTGTGTACTAATTCAATCATACCAGGTATAAAAAATGTAAAATATCTATACTTTTGTCGTAGGAATAAAACGAAACTTATTAATTTTTTCAATACTGTATAGATTTATTCATACATATAAGCTCGACTACAGCTGCGGAATGTTAGTGGTAACTATAAGTATAGGATGCAATTTTAATAATCTTTTTGAGGCGCGCCAAGTCTAAAACTGGATTAATAATCAGTTAAGTTTTTATTGAACGCTATAGTTGTGATATGTTTACAAAATAGCTTACTTAGTAATTTGTGAAAGTTCATAAAAAATATTTAATATTTGATCCCTGCCTTTAATTACGATTTATGTATAGATAAAAATTTCTCCAGCTTGCGACGGACATCCAAATTAGCACATGTTTTAGTAACAATTCAATATAAAAAAAATTAGAATGGATGCGAGATAGGTTCATGGATGCATGAACGTACATAATTTTGCTCATCAAATGATCAAGAGTCATAACGAACTCGGATACGCAGGGTCCAACACGGAGGGTTCAAGCGAATTCTTGTACAACTTCATTCACAAAACTGACCTTCGGCTTCACGCATGTACTATTTAACTTCCTGTTTTAGTGTTTACATTATATATGAATTGCAATTCGGCGTGTCTTCCAGCAGTAATTGAAATTAACTGGTGTTAAAAGTTTAAGTTCCATCACTGTAAATAATCGGGATTGGGTGAGTTAGAAAATATCGCGCACGCATGGACTGAAACATGATTTCGCTGACAGCGCGAAAGAGCAGATAGAGCAAAGAAAAAAAGAGCTTATGTATAGGTAAAATTTTTAGGACTGAACACTGAAGCAAAGGTAAAAAATTGATCTAAATATAGTCTTTACAAGTACAAATACAGTCTTTAAAGTACTTTAGGAATGTCTCTATGAAAAAAGATATCCAAGACCAATTTATAGCACTTTCCAGTAAATGCAGGTCAATCTCGAAACTACTTGACTACACAGACAACGGACCCATAACCGGTTCCACTAATTAGGTCATAGGGATTATCAGCGTTATTTGCATCCATAGAAAACAGTATTAAACAAATTAAGCTAACATACGTATATCAGAAAATATTATTTAATAATCACAAATAAGTTTCACGCGGTATAACCCTATTTTTGAAAGTGTTCATCGTGCCACGTTCAAAATCCTTTGGAAATTCAACCAATTCCTTGTGCCTACTCGCTACTGCCTAGCATTCTCAACTTCTCAAGAGGCACCTAAGGCTAAGGATCAAGTTAATAAAAAAAAGCAAATATGGTATTTGCTACATTCGAAGATAGATTATTTCACGTGTACGTGAAAAATTTCTTTGAACAGAGGACAACAGATAACACGGCACCACCTTCTCTACAGCTTGCGGTAAACTGCCTCCCGTCATCCAGCATTAGTGGTGGTTTACGCAAGTATACATAGTGCATACCGCGTTTTCTCCACAGGATGTAGCGCGCCATGTTTAAAGTCTGATCCCAGCTAGCTACAGTAGAGATGACGCGCGCCGTAATTTCAGAATGATCAGATAATCAAACAGACTTATATTTGTTACTTTTATTTAACTTTTATATTTTTTCATCGAACTAAAACATTTCTTGCAGTGAATCACCTACATTTCTCAAATTCTCAAGATGAAGAAAAATTGTAATAAAATCGCCTCGAGCGCCCCACAAAAAGTGAGTTGAATGAATGTAGATTGGCATAAGCATTCTAATATCTGTTACATTCATTTTGCTTGTAAAAATGTGTGAAAAGTGCGATTTTGGAAAAGTACCTCTGCTAAGGTCTGTAGAAAAAAAAATTTGCGATATTAAAAATTTTACTTGCATAAAAGTTGCCTACAGTTACAAGTGTTGGCTTAAATATGCGATTCACGGAATTTGCCTATCTCATTCCAAGAAAAATGAGCGGCCATTAAGGGACACCCCTAAAAATGCATTTACAGTAGGACTTCAGTTAGCAAAGGCTCCAGTTAACCAAAAAATCAATTAACAAAAAAATTTGATTGCATTTACCTCGCTTAATGGAAAAAATTTTACTTAACAAAAAATTAATGCATTACCAGTCATCAGGAAATTGTGCATAGAATGTCATAGATGGAATTGTGCACTGGGCAACATAGAATGAAAAGTAATTACCCTAAATTATGATTTATTTCTCCAAAAAATATGATGGTTGTCACTAAAATATTCCTTTTTGTTTCAGGTACGGTATGTATATATGATCTTGTTTTGTTAAAATGAATTCACTTGAACTAATTAAACTGGTGAGAAATTAAAAGCCATCCTGTTAGCTTACAGATGCTGAAAAAATGCTACATCAGTACTGGTACATGGCTGCTGATATGAAGCTTGCATTGGACAAGGTTGTTGTAAATGCACAATGGCATGTCCATGCCCCATGGATACGGTAATATCATATCAATAAAAGAAAAGCAAGTAAAAATCACAGAAAATGTCATTTATTCTACATCTACATCATCTTCAAAGGAAGGGATAGCTTCAGAGTACTGTTAGTAATGGATGAGTACACTCTGCAATCTGCATGCTACAAAATATTTTAAAAGTTTGTTTTATTTTAAATGTCCTGGATTAACCCATTTCCAGGGGTAATTCGGGACGCTTTTATTTTGCGTCTGGCACCTAACGAATAGTATATGGATTTTTTTTGGAGATGCCATATGATAGCCCTCACAAAGAGTGTAGGCTAAAACGAGCCTAAACTTGTTTATGAAATGTTTCATGGTAAGAAGTTATAAACAAAAAATGCTCAAAACCGTCCCTTATTATCCTGTTCAAATACGGTTCAATGGTAAATCTCATGTCTATTAAGTAATAGTAAACTGATGTACTATTCTTAATTATTTTAATTCAAGATTGGAAAATCTGACTTCACTGAAACATTCTTATTGATATTGCAGCTAAAATATTGTATAATTTTTGTGCTAAGTTTCTTTCAAATAGAAATATTATTATTATCTTAGAAAAATGTTCATATATATCTGTATGATGAAGTTTTGACAAATCTTTGACATTAAACTTTAAAGAATGACTTGAAAAATTCAAATAAAAATGAGCCAAAACAAACTTAGAATCTTAGAATCAGTCATCAATATAAAATGTAAAGTTAAATTTTTTGCAAGATTGCTAGTGCATTTAATGGCATTTTATTTATAATTACAAGAATGAACTTTATTTTTTGAAATTCAGAGATTGGATACAATATTTGTAAAACTAATTACACTTGATTTCCCTGTAACCTTTGGATAAAATTTCTGACTATTTTTCAAATTTCCATACAAGATTCTGATAGAAATCTGGTAAATACTTTTCTGCTATTAAGAATTTAAGATAGAATTAGTTATTTTTTTATGTCTGCAATCCACCATAATGTTTACATACAATATCATGTTGCATTTGTGTTCATCTAGCACATTCCATAGCTGCTAAATGCAGCTAAAAAGATAACCCATCTTCAGAGTTTTGTGCCAGAATTGTAACAAGAGGGATTAGAGTTTGACTATGCAAAGAATAGACCTACTGATGTCATTTTAGATGCACAGTAGGCAGCACTTTTTGTCTTGTCACCTAGCTTAACTGAGTCGAATCTAGGCCACTAATTCACTGGTTAGAAACTAGTGAAAAAATCCTACCATGAACTAATGAAAGTTTCAGAGTACCAGGATTGGGGCAGAGAGGCGCGGGTTCAATTCCCACTCAGTGCACCAGTTTCTGGTAAAAATTGGCAAGGAGGCTGGGTGGTTAAGCAAAGCAAAATTGTAGTGGTTGGTTGCCAGTTTGAGGCTGCCGAATGCTGTGAATGTTCTGCAATGTTAAGAATCGGCAACAGTCCTACATAAGAATCGTCAACAGGCCTATAATAAACATTGAAACTGCTATTATTATATTTATTATTTTATCCCAAAGGGTACTAGCCAGAAAATTTATTTATTTTTTTCCTCAGCCATGATTTATTGTGATGCCAGTAAGTGTGTGAGTTTTCTTTTATTGTATACCAATGAAATATAATAGGGTGCAATTTCATGATATTTTTATAGTATTCCATTGATATTGATATATTTGTTTGTTCCTTCCATCCCTTGAGTGGTCTATGCTATATAATTTTCTAAGATGAATGCAAAAGATTGCAACATTGTATACATATATTTGTAGAGAAAAAAATTCCTGAAACTGAGAGGTTGCACTCTGCCTTTGGAGGTATTTCTATCAACAAAATGTACCTAACTTGGGACAGTTGCAACTCGTGTGCTACTAGGGATAACCTGAGAATGAAACCTTTCTTCGATGGGATGTGGTGTGGCTGCTATATGCGTGCTCATAATTGACAATTACAGCAAGTTTATGTGCCCATTTATGGCCCTGAATTATTTTTCAATTTCAAAAGGATTCTAGTCTTTAAAACATTCGATAGCTTGTTTTTATGACCTATCATTGAAATTGAAAACACTAGTTGATTTGTACATACTGTACAAATTTGATGTGTATATATATATATATATACTACAAGAATTATGGTGTAGAAGAGTTGCTTTTTCATTTGATATTTTTTTATAAATCATTGTGTCAGGCTAGAAATTGCAAATTACCAAAACAGACTTCCTATTTAACATCATTTTGAACTTTCAACAATAGTCTTTGACAAGGTCATCATGTTTTACTTTTATTTACATGGAGTTTTCTACTAGGGTATGGTATGTCTTAAATTGTTACCAAATTTTCTTTTAAACATATATTTTCTTATTCTCAGAGCACCCTAATGGCTGGGCAATCAAAGATATCTTCATTTTTCTCATCAAAGAGGAGCCAAGTAATAAAAACTCAAGATATTAACTCCAATGGCGTGAAAGAATTTGATATAATTACGATTGAAAATTCACCTCAAAAACAAAATTTTGGTAAAGATCATCCTGACAAATCTCTTTCTCTCAATGTTTCGTCAAGAAAAAATGAACCACCTGCATCACAATCATCATCAGCCACTATTTCCCATGCTGATCAATCATTGAAAGGCTCCCAGAGAATTTCTCCTTCCTTACTGAGACCATGTAGCTCTATCCCTAAGCCTAGTGAAGATTGTGACTGGAATTCTGAGTCTAGTGATGAAATTATAGGTGAAACTCCTGAGAAGGCATCAATATTTAACAAGTTAAAAATGAAGTCTAAAATTGTACATGCTGAAAATGTAAACCAGAAATGTAGACGTTCCAATAATGGGCCAAGTAAATTATCTGCAAGCAACAAATCAAAGTTAAAATCAGCAATATCTGCAAAGCAAGATTCTTTAATGAATGCTGACCAAAGTTGTATTCCTCCTTTTGACTCAAGAGAAAAGACTCTGCCAAACAAGCGCCTAGCTGATCAACCAACTGGCCTTTCTCCCAATTCTAAAAAATGTGATCAAATTTTATCAAGAGAAGTAAATATTAAATCATGTCAGTCAAGTTTATTGTCAAGATTGAATGATGTATCTGAAATGCAGAAAAGTGTCCCACCACCACAAGTTTCTCATAAAGGTCAGTTGAGTCCTTATAGCATTAATATTGCTCCAGCCATCAAGAACAAAAGTTCAAGCATCTTAATGGATGTGGATGAAACTTTAGTTGATATTCTGAATGAATATGGTTATGGTTCAAATAAAAATCTTAAAGCAACATCACAGGAATCTCCTCATTCTGAGGATAATTCTTCAAGCAAGAAAACCCTTCCAAAAATTAACCAAAGTAGAGTATCTGAAATTAACAGTCACAATAAAATTCCTAATAATTCAAGCCCTGCTCAAGCTACTGATGATGCTGGCAATGATATAAGCGAAATTCCTGAAGAAAATGATGATACAGTTCAAGAAAAAAGTACAAACCAGGATCCTATTGCAGACTTCATGGATGACTCAGAATTAGAGTATGAAAAGCTGGCCTGTGAAATGGAATTCATGTCACCATTCAAATTCAGTGCTAAGTCATGTGAAGAAATTCCTCAAAGCAAGTGAGTGCAAGAATGACTTTCATGCATTCAAAGAATACCATAGTTTTTCATCTTAAGTTGTGAATGTTTTTTTTTTGTGATTTGTTGAAGTTGATTCATGCAAAAATGTCCTTAATGCATACAAAATAATCACAGGATATTCATTTGGGTCTGATCAATAGCAATAAGCTTATTTTCTATGAAGTATTTGAAGTTTAAAATTAGACTTTACTGGGAGACTGTATTCTATTTTATGCCTTATAATTCTAACATTTCATTCTTCTAGATTTGTGGGTGAGTTACTAAGTGAAGGAATTGGTGCTGATTCCTACTGCTCAGCTGGCAATTTTGGCCGTCATGTTGTTACAAGCGTCAAGCGTGATTTGTATGAACCAATCCTGCGTTTGTCTCTTCTCCAGCTGTCTTCAAACTGCCCCAAAACATGCAGTTTACATGGCTCATGGTGAGATTTGGAGCTTTAATAGAGTACAATCTACAATTTTACTTTATATTTTACTACATAGTTTAATATTGCCTGGTCCATTTGTTTACCATTTTGATGATAAAAATGCTGATATTGCTTAAAAAATGAATTGTGGTTGTATTCATGCACATGTTCTTCATTATTAGAAGTAACTATTGCACACCCTATTTGAATTCCAGTAACTTACTGTTTCAGTGATGAAATATCAGTTTAATTTCAATACTTAATGGAAACCTTGTACAGCAATCCATTTGTTTAAATTAAGGTCCATAATTCTGGGTTTTATCTAACTCACGATATGAACATTGACAATTTGTGTAGAACCATACATAAAGACGAAGGTATTTAAAAAAGTAATTGATCAAAAATGATTCATTTTAATAATTTTCATATCAATTTGTGATGGTTTTGAAGAAATTCTAAATATTCTGGATTGTGATTATATGCAAATGAGTTCAAGGAATGGAAATAAGAATTTCTATTCCTAAATTTTCCAGTACTTAACAATCTATAGGTTGTTGTGACTGTTTCCTCCAAATTTGTATGGATTTGTTCAACATTTATTCTACAGGAGTGAATCCGTGCTACAGGAGGACGACATTGTGCACATCCTCTTCTGTTCAGAAGTGAATGGTCATTACTCAGTTACAGATCAAGAGGTTTGTATAACTAATCATATCCACTTGTATAAATTAAAGACAATTTTAATTTCTTCTATCAAATATAAATTCTTTTGAAGACTGATTCTTGGATTCATAAATTTTTACATCATGTGAGTCTTGATTTTGAGGAATTTTTCTTTTTGCTGAATTTACAACATAATTGTAACAAAATTTGATTCTTAGCAAAATAAATGTTCATTTGGCATGTTGGTTTTCAGAAATGCTTTCATATTCTAAAATTTGGGAGCACAAAGAAAATTTTTTCTCATATATTAAATATGTGAATTTTTTCTAAGAAAGATGCAGTGATTGAAAATTCAAATAAATGTAACCATTCTGAATATAATAAATTAGGTTTCAGTTATTATATTTTATTTACTCATTACTAGTCCATTTTTATCAAGATATCCAATTATTTAATTCATGATCTTTATATCAAACAAGGCATTGTTGTTTTGCTATTATTACATTACAGCATTTCCAAACCTGATGTGTAGTTGTGTTACTCTGACTTCTGTATAATTCAGTGTGAAAATTTTTAACTTCAATAACATAGGATAGTAATAAATAAACCATTATTTTGACAGGGTATTGTAATCATCAACCCTGACGTGCTGTTGTCAGGGACAAGCATAGTGGCAGGTTGCTTTTGTAGGCGCAAAGCAACACTTGCCGAGACCTTCAAAGGCATCGATGGATGCAACCAAGTCATGCTTGTGGGATCACTGGTCCATCAACTTTTTCAGGATGTGAGACATTCTACCAACTGGCAATTTTAATTATTTTGCATTCATAACATGAGCAATGACATGCCTTTGGACCACAATAATTTTTGTATGTGTGTTTGATATTCATGGTTATGATGAAAACACATGTAAGCAGCTTTGCCTAACCCAATTATAAAATTTACTCCATCTAATCAGCCTCAAAAATATTTCCAGGTTGTGGAGAAGAAGCAGGCTGTGTCAAGCAGTGAGCTGCAGTCATTACTACAAGCCTTGCTGCAGCAGTCATGGGTTGTGCGTGATATGTATGGCCTCGGTCTAACACCACAAATTCTACATGCTGAGATGAGCAAGTTTCTTCCTCACATTGAACAATTTCTCCGGAATTATATGCCGTCTGCTGCCTCTCTGTCACTTAAAAGTGAGCATTTGTTTGCTGAATATTAGTAACTTTTATTACTTTTAGAATTTGTATAACAAGATTCATTAATCTTTTATGGCTTATTCAACTGTCATGTGCTTTTATGTTGAAATACTGCTCGATTTTTTATGATGCATTCCTAAGGCCTGCAAGTGTTTGCTTGTTTATCTAAATGGACTGGGCAATTTTTTTTTTTTGCAGATGGTTGCCCCGCTATAAAGCCTAGACAGTCTGTTGGTTTAACCCGTGGGTGGTCTGGAACGATCAAACAAGTGCTTGACTGTGAAGAGAATTTCTGGTCTCCGAGATTTGGCCTCAAAGGAAAAGTTGATCTCACCCTTGCTGTGCAAGATCATTTAGGAGACCGAGTAAGACATTATGTTCTGTTACTTATTTGGTAATTTGTTTCTTGTACTTCATTGATGCTCGTTGCTCAGTTTAAGTGTATTTATTCTCGAAAATCTTTGTGTATTGATGAGGCTTGTTTACTGTGTTGCCCCTTAAACTCGTCTCCCAACTCCGACGGTAGTGTTTTCATGTCTCAGAAAAATTGGTTTGCAATTGCATGCTGAAATTTCAAGAACTTGAATTTCATCTCTTCAGTTGTTTATTTCTCAAGTTTTTGTCTATATTATTAGATGGAACTAACGGTACCAAAAGATCGCCTACTGAAAATGTCTTATTTAAAAAGTCCGTGAGAAATTTCTCAGTTTTTTAAGATGTTACAAAAAGAGGAGAATATATTATGCATATGTGTATTGTAACTTCATGTTGCGCTTTAAGTAGTAAAGCACCATATGTTTGTACCTATTTATAGCATTGCTAATTGTGTGTTCAGAGTATGATGTTAACTCTATAAGAGGAGAGTTAAGCTGAAAAAGTACAAGATATCAGCTCAAAAAAATGTCTGTAAACAGGTGCTGCCCCTGGAGCTCAAAACCGGGCGTGCGACGTTCTCGTCGGAGCACAGAGGCCAGCTCATGCTGTATACGCTCATGATGACCGATCGTCGGCCACTGCCCTCCGGCTCCGGTCTCCTATTGTACCTCAGGTCTGTCTTTGCTTCCTCATGTTCTGTAGGATAGGTTGCAGTGTTGGATTATGTCTCTCTTTACCACCTCATGTTCTGGAGGTTGCAGTGTTAGATCATGTAGGTATATCCTATTGTATCTAAGGTCTCTCTTTGCCGCCTCATGTTCTGTAGGATAGGTTGCAGTGTTGGATTATGTCTCTCTTAACCACCTCATGTTCTGGAGGTTGCAGTGTTAGATCATGTATAGCCTAATGGATCTCAGGCCTGTCTATACCGCGTCATGTTCCGTGGCATGCATTGCAGTGTTCGATCATGTATCCAATTGTATCTCAGGTCTCTCTTTACCGCCTCATGTTCCGTGGTATGCGTTGCAGTGTACGATCAAGTGACAGTAATAAACATGCTGAACAAGCTTCCTGGGTTGCTAGGTTATTCTAGTTGCTGTGTGTAAGCACATGGACTGCATTTTGAGTTTATCACGTGAAACCCTTCAATAAAAAGATTGGTATTTCTGATTTGACATTCGCTAACATGAAAGGCTAACATTTAAATTAACAAATTAAAATTGTACTCAACGTCACATTTAGTACCTATACTTACTTATCATTTAGTTCACCTGACACTAGGTGCAATAAGAATGGAATCATATGATTTTTAGTTTTTACCGACTCCGACCCACTTGTGCACTGACGGCAGTGAGGTTTCCCTCGATACTTTAAAATTTTTTGTGCTTCTGAATATAGAGTAGATATTGCATTCATCTCTCCACTGGAAGTCGCACTCGGTGCGTAAAGTTACAACATTGTTTTCCATAATGAATTAACTGACACGAAAATCCCATTGATAATCTGTGCATTGTGATATGTTGCACTATGCTGATTAAAAAATTGAACACAAAGCACCGAGTCTCATATTTATTTCTTAACTCCATTTTTATCTCCTCAAAAACTAGTAAAATTACTTATCAGAATGAAAAATTTTCCACTGCACAGGTCTGGCGACATGGAAGAAGTCACCACTGGTCACCTGGAGAAGCGTGAACTCCTGCAGCTGCGTAACGAGATGGCATCATACTTTGCCAGGCCACCTGCTGTGCAGGTAATTTCGAAATCTCGGTATTCCACTTCGATAAAATTCAATTAACATCTCAATTGGCAAATGTGTGTGTACTGCTGCCCAATATTTTTCAAATTTTCTTGCTGATTTGGCTTTAAACATTGATTTTGTTAATATTGGCTTTAATACAATTATTCCTCAAATTGCGTTCTAGTTTCAATCTAGTTGCGTTCAGAATTTGATAAGATAAGAACGATCTGGAAGATAAAATAAAATAAGAATACATTGCAACCATCATATAAACTAAGATAAAATAGAATAACAAGAATCAATCCCTGCAGAAGGATGGGAAACTGGCCTTACCCTCGTTGCCCTCACCCATCGACCGTGAGAGGGCATGTCAGGGCTGCCCTCACCTGCTGGTATGCACTGCCCTCAACACAGCTCCTCCCTCACCACCTCATGCCATGGCTTCCCTCGTGCCCGCTACCCTCGCACATCTACAACCTGTCAGTTCTTTTATGATTTACAGTTTTTTCCATTTTTATTCATTTTCATTTCATATTTTCTACCGGCTACCTACACACTGTAGTGACTGTACAGCAAACTGAGCTTAGTGTCTGTCCAACCACAGCTTTTTTTATAATTGTTTCTTTTTTAATTTCCTCTTCTACTTAAAATTTAGGCTGATATCTTTTGTATGATAATGCTTGCATCAATGAGAATTTACTAGCCTCAGCTCTGACCCTATCCCTATGCTACATTGCTACATGCTACTTGATACTTATTATTGCTAGCCATGCTAGGACTAGGTACACACTACACACCTACACAGTACACACTCACAGTGCCAGTGGATAGCTAATTCTATAACACTAATGTGGTTCAAAACTAGAATTTTCCTCCTTTTAACTAAAATCCTGTTGCTCTAAACCTAAAGACCAACTGACTGTGACTGCATCTGCATGGACTTTTTTCAGCAATTAGATTGGATCATTTGAGCCTTTGGAGTTTGGACTACCGGCTACCTACACACTGTAGTGACTGTACAGCAAACTGAGCTTAGTGTCTGTCCAACCACAGCTTTTTTTATAATTGTTTCTTTTTTAATTTCCTTTTCTACTTAAAATTTAGGCTGATATCTTTTGTATGATAATGCTTGCATCAATGAGAATTTACTAGCCTCAGCTCTGACCCTATCCCTATGCTACATTGCTACATGCTACTTGATACTTATTATTGCTAGCCATGCTAGGACTAGGTACACACTACACACCTACACAGTACACACTCACAGTGCCAGTGGATAGCTAATTCTATAACACTAATGTGGTTCAAAACTAGAATTTTCCTCCTTTTAACTAAAATCCTGTTNAGAAATGTTGTAGCAGCTAAACTAATCAAAATATTGCAAAACTAAAAATAGTTGCTAAAAGTTCAACATTTTTACTATCTCTGTAGCATAAAGCAAGTTAGGAAATCATACATTTACTACCTCTAAAAAATTCCTGAAAAATGTGTGAAAAGTGTGATTTTGGAAAAGTACCTCTGCTAAGGTCTGTAGAAAAAAAATTTGCCATATTAAAAATTTTACTTGCATAAAAGTTGCCTACAGTTACAAGTGTTGGCTTAAATATGCGATTCACGGAATTTGCCTATCTCATTCGTCATTTCAAGAAAAATTAGCGGCCATTAAGGGACACCCCTAAAAATGCATTTAGAGTATAGGACTTCAGTTAGCAAAGGCTCCAGTTAACCAAAAAATCAATTATCAACAAAAAAATTTAATTGCATTTACCTCGCTTAATGGAAAAAATTTTACTTAACAAAAAATTAATGCATTACTGGTCATCAGGAAATTGTACATAGAATGTCATAGATGGAATTGTGCACTGGGCAACATAGAATGAAAAGTAATTACCCTAAATTATGATTTATTTCTCCAAAAAAATATGATGGTTGTCACTAAAATATTCCTTTTTGTTTCAGGTATGTATATATGATCTTGTTTTGTTAAAATGAATTCACTTGACCTAATTAAAATGGTGTGGAATTACAAGCCATCCTGTTAGCTTACAGATGCTGAAAAAATGCTACATCAGTACTGGTACATGGCTGCTGATATGAAGCTTGCATTGGACATGGTTGTTGTAAATGCACAATGGCATGTCCATGCCCCATGCATACGGTAATATCATCAATAAAAGAAAAACAAGTAAAAATCAGAGAAAATATCATTTATTCTACATCTACATTATCTACAAAAGGAGGGGAAGCTTCAGAGTACTGTTAGTAATGGATGAATACACTTTGCATGCTACAAAACGTTTTAAAATTTTGTTTTATTTCAAGTGTCCCGGATTAACCCATTTCCAGGGGTAATTTGGGATGCTTTTATTTTGCGTCTGGCACCTCATGAATAGTATATGGATTTTTTTTTGAGATGCCATATGATAGCCCTCACTAAGAGTTTAGGCTAAAATGAGCCTAAACTTGTTTATGAAATGTTTCATGGTAAGAAGTTATAAACAAAAAATGCTCAAAACCCTCCCTTATTATCCCGTTCAATGGTAAATCTCATGTCTATTAAGTAATAGTAAACTGATGTATAGTCAGATGGGGTAAGACAGGACCGAAATCACTAACAAGCCTGTAGCATCTATACCAAGAATAACTAAAAACCATAAACCTATCACAAGGTGTAGTTATGCAATGGGCTTCTAAGCTACAACTCAGATGTTTTGCATCTAACATAGTTTTCTATACAGATTAAAAATGGTGAGCTGGTCCCATCTTACCCCACTGGGGTAAGATGGGACCAGGCATGGGGTAAGACAGGACCAACTGCTAATTCTTATGTTACAAGGTTTTTAATAAAAGTACAAATCTGATATTCAATATTATCCATCTAAACATGCATTATTTGATTAAACAACCACTTGTTACTGTTTTGTGTTGCAGGAAGTCAACTCTAATATCAGTCACATTGAAGTTTTTGTCACGAGAAAACTTTGTTAAGCATAGTAATAGTGGGTTGGCTTTGGTTCATTGTAGAGCACCGCTAAATGCTTCATGATATTCCATTAGTGTCATTGTCTGAAAAATTGATCAAATTGGTAATAAAACCAATGGATAATAACTTGAGTACCTATCAGACATCATGTGTTTTCTTGCTAACTGCATTTGTGGTGCACTTCTTCAAACTTAACTCCTGCCCTCTCACAGAGTTGTGATCATAATTATTTTTCATGTTTCACACAGTGATTTTTCCCCCAGCCAATCTTGCACATACTCGTTCTGCAGCTCACTAATGGGAAGAGACATCCCTATTTTCTATATCCCTTTGATGCAATTTAAAATAGTGCACTAAATTTCTCTAATTAAAAAAGCTAACAAGTTATAATGAAGTTTGAGCAAAAGATAAAAATTTTGACCAAAATACTCCATGTACCTGTCTCTTATACACATCTAGATGTGTATAAGAGACAGGTGTTGATGTAGAAGAAGTGAAGGAAATAGCTAGTGCTGGCGACTTTGTTATTGAGGATATCATCCGTTTAACTAGATTCCGCAATGGAGGACGAGAGCAATCCGCTACGCTTAAGGTTGTCTTTCAGGGAAGAACTTTGCCTAGCAGGGTAAGAATTGGATATGTGTCATACCCTGTGAGACCATTTGTGGCTCCTGCAATGCGATGCTACAGGTGTCAACAGGTGGGGCACCTTGCTGAGGGATGTGATGGACCCAGAAGGTGTCTTCTATGTGCTGGTCCCCACGAACACACTGTGTGTACATCGGCTGAAAAACGTTGTGCCAACTGCAAGGGACCTCATCCTGCAAATTCTTTGGAGTGCCCATTTATTGCAAAAGCCACTGCAGTAGAGAAACTTCGGGCAAATGGTCGTTCATATGCCCAGGCTGTTAGGGAAGTTGAGTTGTCAGTAGAAAGACAAGCTCCTGGTCTGGTTGCGCCAGGCTCGCATACTTCCTATGCTTCTATTGTGGCAGACTCAAGCCCTCCTAGTTCCTCACCGGTAGCTCTTACCACTGTGACAATCCCAGTGGAGGTTCATCAATCACAAGGCAGCTGCTCAGGTGTAGTATCTACCAAGCAGTCTCAGCCTCTTGTGAGGCAACAGGGTCAAGTTAGTTCCACGGTTGTTGCTGCAGAGAAGCGGGGGAATGTGGACACCTTTGCAGACTTGAGAGGGATCATCAAGGAGGAGCTGGCTTCTAGTGAGAAACGACTGGACAATATTATTCGTGCATCTCTTACTGGTTTTTCTATCAGATTGGGTCAATTTTTGAATGAAGTGTTTAAGCTGAATCTAATGAATNGGTCTAAGTTACCCCAAGAGCTGGGGTAACAAAGACCATCACTTTTTTTGAAATTACATAAAGACTATGAGAGGTAGGAGCCAGCAATTTATGGTGAGTGAAGCTAGAGTATAGACCTGTATTTTGCATGTTTCAATTCAAGTTTAATTTAGCTAGTAAAAAAATGGCATCATTTATAAAAAAAAGTGGTCTAAGTTACCCCATTTTACGGTACCTATCATGTAGAAATTATGCAAGGGCTTAGGGCTATCACAGCTATGGGAAATACTTAGGAATACCACAGGTCATACTGTCATTATTATTATTGCGTCATACATGATACAGTGGTATCCTAAAGCTCCAGGTGGCAGGAGTATGGCATTTTTACTGAGCTGGCATGGTATACATGATACATCTACATACATTTTCAGCCATAACTAGTGCATTCCTGCCATTTTTGAAGCTGCAACTAACTTGCAAGTTTTCAGCTAGATTGATAGTGTATGATCAAACCAAGATATTTCAAATGTACAGGGTCATAAATATTTAGCATTACAACTTTAAGTGGTTAGAACTATGAAATGAAACACAATTGTGAATGTTTGAAAATGTATTTATGTAGGCATAGGTTCAGAGATACAATTCCCACAATTTCATTTAACATGTCCACCATCTGCATCAATAACGAGTTGTAGACGCTTAGAGAAAGCCTTACACAAGTCACGAATGACACTCTGCGTGATTTTGGCCCACTCCTTCAGCAGTTTGACCTTTAGGGCGTCCAAACTGTGATGGCGAACGGTCGAGACCTTGCTCTCAAGGTATGACCAGATCCCAAAATCCAGAGGATTCAGATCGGGTGAATGGTGATGATGGGGGCCATTCATCTTAGGTAATGAAGTGGGGAGCTTTCTTGGACAGCCACTCCTGAATCAATTAGCCCCAAGGGATGGTGAAGAGTCCTGCTGTAACGACCAGGGACGTTTTTTGAAGTGCTTTTGTGCCCCGGGCAACAATGCACCAACAAGGATGGCATCTCGATAGTTCTTCCGATTCAATTTCATCCATTTGTCAACAAAAAAGATGGGACTACTTGAGGGCTCTGTTACGGTTGCCCAGACCATCACTGAGGTCGGGCATTGCTTCTTAGTCACCACACGGGATCCTTTGTTCCCATTCTTTGACCAAATTTGATCATTTTGGGAGTTGAAGTGGTGTTCAAGATTGAATATCTTCTCATCACTAAAAACGAGGTTTGGCAGCGTGCTATCATGAATGAGGGAAAGAAGAATCTTGGATCTTTGGAGGTGTTTGTCAACAACTTGAGCAGACAGTTGGTGTTTTTTGACACCATAAAGATGATAAATGATAAATAGTGATAAAGATTAATGAGAAGGTGTAAACAAATGACAATGGGTAAACGCGGTATATTCCAACACTTTAAGGATGTAGCAAAAAATGAATGGCTATAAAAAAAATCACAGTACGCGCAACTCGAGTTCTGTTTGCTTTACGTCACTCTCAAAACACCGCACTACACGCCAGCAACAATGAAATGTCACAAAATGTTTCCATATTTATTTAAAAGCCTTTAGAATGCAAACCTACCAAATCCATATAGGGTAAACGCGGTATATTCCAACACATTAAGGATGCATTGAGAAATGAGAAACTATAAAAAAAACTGTATGCGTTAAGTAACTTCTGTTGGCTTCACGTGACTCACAAAACACCGGACTACGTGTCAGCAACAATGAAACGTCACAAAATGTTGCCATATTTATTAAAAAGCCTTTAGAATGGAAACCTACCAAATCCCTATATTCCGTCACTNAAAACTCGAGAAGTGTCGGAATTATCCACAATGTTGGAATATACCACGTTTACCCAATATTGTCATATTGAGGACAATTATCAACAATTGATTTTGAAAAAAAATGTAACGGTAAATATTGATGACTCTGTATTGAAAACTTCTCAATTAGAGTCAAGTTTCTGTACTGTAGAATGTAGAAGTGTTGTAGGTAGAATGTAGATTAGAAATGAGATGTGGAGTAATAAACTGTCAAGTGTGGAGCAAAATAGCAAATCGAAACATTTCGAGACACTTCAAAACTAAAATAAAGTGAGGACTGAGGAGAATTTTTAAAGTAGAAAATGATTAGCAATTTACTTTTACCATATTGATAAGTGCCAACTAGTACACAGTACACACCCTATGCCTACGGGCCACGACCAACACAGTGAATAGCAATTACATGCGCTAGCAGTTCCTGAGTTAGCTGATGCCTACTGCTGTACTATGTACTAAACAATAAACATTACACAAGCCGGCGTTAGACTTTTCTACGTTGTTTGTTTACATGCAAGTGGAGTGCCATTCCGCGATTTGTACCGGACTCAACAGATTTAAAAAAAAACATAAAAACTTTTCAAGACAATTTTGAAAATTTAAGTTATTTCAAGTAGTCGAGTTGTTATACAGGGTCCGCCATATTTTTGGCAACACATGTTTTTTGTTATCCGTTTTGAGGTGACAGGAGTTCCTCTCAACAGGGCACTTGTTGCACCTGGATTATTATTTTCTTGTTATTTTTCAATGAAACAATCAGGTGCATTATTTTTTATTGGATGAGCTAGTAGCCAAGAATTACCTAAAAAATTCTCAGACATATCTATTCAATATGACCACCCTTATTTTTAATGATGTCCTCCAATATACGAGGGAAAGCTTCACAGGAGACACGCAGCATTTCTTGAGGGATCAAGTCCCATTCTCGTGTCAATTTAGACTTCAAACTATCCAAAAGGCAGGGTGGCCCAGTGGTTAAAGTTCAGAGTACCAGGATTGGCGCAGAGAGGCACGGGTTCGATCCCAGCTCTGTGCGTCAGTTTCTGGTCAGAATCGGCAAGGAGGCCGGACGATTAAGCAAAGCAAAATTGAAGCAGTGAGTTGCGAGTTCAAGCCCGCAACAAGCTGTGGATGTTCTGCAATGTTAAGAATCGGCGACTTCCTCCGGCCTAATAAACGCCGACATCGCTGTATTATATATTATTATAAAGAATCATGAGGTGTTCTGCAGACCCTACTCTTTAAAATAGCCCACACAGAAAATTTTTTTTTTTAACCGTGACCTCCAAGACGTACGTGGAGTAAAGAAAATTAATGAAAACGACGTCTAGATCAATTACAATATAAATCATTAACGCGTCTTGGCAAGAAACAACTTCCGTCTGAACAATTAAATCTCAGAAATAATTACCATTCTTAAATAGAAAGTTTATCAAAAATATAAAAGCAAAGGTAACGCCAAGGCAGATATAATTTCCTTAGTTTATAATATATATTTATTTATTATATATACAAATAATCATATTCATATTAATTGTAATGCAAAAAACCGGTTTATTACCTCACGAAAGGCAGGAAAAAGAAATCAATGCCGCGATAGTTTAGTTCTGGTTATATTTGTACTCAACCATTCCTCAAGAATATATATTGAGCTCAGCCATGCGGGTAACTAAGCCATTATTCCTTGCCTGGGCCTATACTTTAAAAAAAGTTAAGAGATCGTATGTTTATGAACCAATAATTGACGGCCTTTCAAGCAAAATCCACCAATCATGGACAAGAAAATAGAGCGTGAGTACTCACGTTCATTTAGCGATTTTTTGATAGTATGGCCCCTGACTTCAAAGTGCCTGATTTATCTGCTGGGCTCGCCATAATCTTTAGTAAGTTCGGCCATAGCTTTACCCTTATTCTTGGGCATCTTCTTGGTATTTGAATCATTGACCTCACTATCCTTATAATAGTGCGGAGCAACCTCCATCAACCACTTCCCCTCCACGGTAGTAACCGTCCTCATATACTCTTTGGTAGTCATAACCAGTTCATGGTACACAACCCAGCGTGGTAGATCCTCAACCAAGCAAGACTGTGGGTGCATAAGGACGGTCTGGGACTTCTTAGCAGTTTTGTACATTCCGCCTTTACTGAACTTGGCGATGTGGTAGAAGTAGCCGGCGGTGATGCACTTGCGTATCGCTTCTGAGTCCCCAACGTTGCTGGTCAAGGGGATCTCGACCCGCTCCATGAGACCCACCAGCTGGTCCCGAATGTCCCGTGCTCGTTTCAGGGACCTACGGGGACATAAAATTGGTTATTCACATGTACCATAAGGAATTCATATGGTACACTTTACATATGGAATGCAATATATAGAATATAAATGTTACATTTCATTACTTACGCCTCAGATCTCATGTGAATGTGAAGCCATCAGTACTAATGTAAACAGCACATATATGTAAATAGTATATATATATGTGTATACAGTAATAAACAGTAAATATGTAAACAGTACATAAACTAAGTAACGGTACATATAAGTAAACAATACATATACCAGAATTATATTCAACTTCACTAGAAAGACCACTGTAAAAAAAATTCTATATTTACTTTTAGAGGCAAATTCACACCATTTCAAAAGCCCGTTACAGGTTGAGTTAACTAATATTAAGTTTGGAGGCCAGCGAAATGTTATAATTATATGTATTAAAATGGTTATGACTGTACTGACTGTACCTGCTATGTCCATCCACTGACTGTGCCCACTTACTGTACTTGCAGTGTCCACCCACTGACTGTACCCCTGCTGTGTCCACCCACAGACTGTACCCACTGTACCACAGCACCTGTAATGGATGAAGACTTCGTAGCACCACTGACTGTACCCACTGTACCACTGCACCTGTACTGGATGAAGATCTCGTAGCACCACTGACTGTACCCACTGTGAAACAACACCTGTACTGGATGAAGACCTCGTAGCACCACTGACTGTACCCACTGAGCCACAGCACCTGTACTGGATGAAGACCTCGTAGCACCACTGACTGTACCCACAGTACCACAGCACCTGTACTGGATGAAGACCTCGTAGCACCACTGACTGTACCCACTGTACCACAGCACCTGTACTGTATGAAGACCTCGTAGCACCACTGACTGTACCCAC